TCAGTTATTAACATTTTTGAGAAATTCTTAAAAATCCCATAGACTTGTTAACCTAAAAAAACTCTTTTTTAGGTTCATGTAGGTTCTTTTGATAGCAGACAAAAGCTATCGAAACGTCAAGATAATTTTTCAAATAAATTTCTTTACTAACTGGAATTTTCTCTTACAGCTTGAGCCAAGTGTGTCGCAGGATACCCTCTGGGTGATAGTTCTTGATTACGTTTTGATAAATAATTCGTTCTTATTGCGAAATAGGAGCACTATTTATCAATCTGTAATAAAGGCGTGAGGAAATTCTGCCTTTTTTAAAGGCAAACATTTTTGACGCGCAATACCCAACAAGAAGTTTGTAAAAAAATATTCTAATTGCTTATAAAAAACTATAAAAATTGTAAGTCAATTAATGTTAAAGTAACATCGCCTTTGAAACCAAACTAGACTTACCTTTAATGTACATTTCCAAGCCCCTGTAATGGTTTAAAAATATAGTTTTAAAAATATAGTTTTGTTTGTCTAGTTACGGAATTTGGTTTGATAATTATTAGTTATTAATCATTCTCAAAGCTTACATGAAAATTTGTAAACATGAACATTGAAACGAACTTCTGAGCAAGTTTGCTTAGCGCATTATGTGTTCTGGCTAGCCGAACTTTGCCGCCGATAAATCAAATTTAGCCAAAAAAGAAAGATACAGTTATTTATCAACAATGCAGTCTCCTTTGTGAAATTACAAGCCCTAATATACACTTTAACAATGGCGATCCTATGTCTCCTCCTGAGGCACTTGAAAGCGAAAGCACGCAAGCAAAATGTAGAGAGTGGATCAAACAAAGGAGTTGTCCCCTTGTTTTGTTTTCGACTGGTAATTGGATTGCTTCTATTAAAATTGTCTAGGTTAACTTAAAAATATACCTAATTTATCGTCTCTTTTTATCATCAGTACTTAATTAAACTGTTAATTTAATGAATACTTTTATTTTTATCTCAATGCTCAATCTCAGCAACATCACATTTAATTCAAAATAGTCTAGAAATCGGATCGGAAGTTATTACGCACTGGAAATCGCCGGAAATAAACCGGAAAAATAGATATCCAATTTCCGCAGAAAAAACTGTTTTTCGGTGGCAGCCTGGGAAACATAATTTACTGGCAGATTCAAGAACAATGGATTTTGCTGAGAACAAACTAAATGGTTTGCGCGCTCCATAAAGAAACTTTGAAAGTTTCAAGGAACGATATGCATTGGGAAATTTTACTTTATTAAAAAAAACTCAATATCAATGTTACAAAATTACGTGCGATTAACAGCAAGCTACTAGAGCCTTGAGTTGTATAGAGATGACTTTGCTTTTTATGTTGGAGGTTTGGCAGAACTTCGTAAAGTTGCCTGAAACTGGACATTTAAACGCTCATTCAGCTAACAACACTTCTCCAACTTTATAGGAACTGTCATATTTCGTGTTTTCTTGTTATTCCAAGTGGAAATGTCTTTGAATGTTTGTAATAAAACAGGAGCTTTTACATAGTAGTTTCGCTGGAAGATTTAAGTGTACAAACAAGGAGAACAATTTATTTCGTTGTAATTCAGAGACAGCGATTTTAGTCACTATTTGTTCCATTACTTACTATTCGAAAACACATTTCAACAAAAGTAGATAATATATACATATTAATAGTATGCATTTGATCATACACATTACATTATTTAAACTGGCAAAAAACCTCTTCGTTGAGATTTTTTCATAATATTCTATTTGAGCTCTAAAAGTCTTTCGTACTCCAGTATGCTACACTGTTCACAACTATCTAAAAGGCAAAATCGAGGAAAATTTTCATATGAATTCCCACATTAACATAAATCTTATCCTAAATTCATTTTGTTTTCGGGATTCTTGGCCCCAGGATCGGATCGCCCTCATAAACTTAGCCATAGATTACTGAGTGAACAAGGCCAAACTGAACAAACTTGCGTAGATATATACCTTCAGGAATTTATTGTGCTAATCCAAATTTAAGGATATAATTGATATTAATAACAGATAAAATAAACAATACAAAAATGCCTGAATAAATGGAATAAACACAGGGTTCAATAAGTATTAATGAACTTAAAGCTCTGTAACTTCTTGCGATTGAAATGAAGTGGCACCATCAAATTGACTTAGAGGTCCTCCGTTAGAGGGTCTTGAGTTATCGAGTATCCATGATTTAAGTTTCTACTGCAACAGTTTAGCGCATTTTATTCGTTTAGCCTCTAACTCTCATTTGACAAAGTCGTAAACTATTACAGTTTCAAACACTTTTTGTATGCCATTTCTTCGCAACAGTATTATTTAAAAGTAGCATGATTGGTAATTGTTGCAAACTTACAACCCTACTGTATTGCGGGACATTTATTCTTCCAGTTGATTACCCTGCGACTGGCTTATTTAACTTTAGCCCTTAGTTCTAGTTAGATCAATTTGGACCTGAAATGGAAACTGCAAAGGAGCATAAAAACTTTCCGTTTTTATCCCCGAGGAGATCTAGGAAGGATAAAACAAGCCGGCGGAAACGCGCCAGATTAGTTTTATTATCTCGCAGATAAAATGACTAACAAGAGGAAAAAACAGATACCTTCCGCTTGCCAATAATTGCTCTGTTGGGGACCATGGCATTTTGCTGTGGGGAAGTCAGATTAATTTTCAGGTCTAATCGAGGAAAAATTTATTAGACCGCACCTTGTTTGCCTTAAAAATAGTCGAATTCTAAAGAAATAATTATTGTTAAAAGATAGTAGGAAGGATATTATTACTTATTATATTAAAAACTGTGACAAAAAATTTGCACTAAAATATTACATCTGGGGCCAACGGTGCAATCTAGTCGAAAAATAGTTGAGTTCTTCTAGTTTTCTAAATTTGCTGATTGAGATTAGATCAATAAATTAGTTTGAATTACACAGAAAATCCCAGAATTTTCTTGTCAATATCCATATTCACTTCAAATTTGAAAAAAATATGGTAAATATTCCGGTTGAATCAAGTCACTTGCAGAAAAAACTGACACTTTGATACATAAATGTGAGAAGCTTTCGTTTATTTTTGTATTTATTTAACGTGTTTTCAGGTTTCAGTCCCGGCGACGAACGTACCGTTGTATAACTTAAATGTATGCAGCTCTAAATTTGTGCATGTTGATATACCGACAGTATTACAGGTATAAAAACTTCTAAAAAGTTATTTATTTAAATAGAAACCAACATTCTGTTGTAAATTTCGTACACAAAGCCAAGCAGCCTTCTTGTACCTATAATATTTTGGTGTGTGAAATAAATGTTTTTTTTAAACGATTTTTTTCGATAGAATAAAATTAGCGCAATATGTAGAAACGTTGCAGTTCTGTTACAATTTGAAAGATAGTTATCATCATTGATAATTCCAGCTCAATGTGTAACACAAATTAAATGATACATTTTTGAAATTCAAAAGGAAGATACAGTCAATCTACGGTTGAAACTTGCCACAATTGAAATAAATCGAAATTTACAAAAAACTTACAAGTCTTGTCAAGTCAATAAAAAGTGTGACAATCATTTCAGCTAAAATATTGTACTTTTACTTTAACAAAAAGACAAATAAAGTCAGGGTGAACATAAAATTGAATCCTTTCAAAAATTTAAACTCCCATTATGAGATTTAGAGGATGACTGTCGATGTATGATTTTATTCTTTTTATAAACAGCGCATTCGATGCCAAAAACTCGGTTTAAATCCAGTAACTGTTTTAATCTTGTAACTTCCAGATCAGAAAGTGCTTTTTGCTGTTGTGAACTTATTTTGGGGTGTAAAATAAAAGTTTTTTTAAACGATTGTTTTACGATCAGAAACGAATTTGGAAATTCCGAAAAATAGAAAATTTGTTACTTATGTAGAAAAAACAGAGTGAAGAAACGAAATGAAAAATGTAAAAGAAAGCGCCACTCTCAAAATAACTTTTAATTGGAATCCTCATTCCAAGAAATGCCACTTAAAAAATGGCGGAAGTTAATACTCATAACTCATTAAAATTATTTTAATCAACATAGAAAATCTCCGACCGTTTTTCTCAATAATAGAGTCACTGTAAAGAAACTGAAATATTCATAGACAAAACTAAGAAGATTTCCGTTTATTTTCGCATTTATTTAACGGCATGTCGAAAGACGGAAGTACTGTTGCGAAATTTGAAAAAATCGAACTTTGAATTAGTAAGTGTTAACATACCACCAGTATTGTACAAAACAACTATAGCGTAAAGCAATGCTTTATTATAAGGGCCATAATCAATTCATCAAGGTAATAAGTTATCAAAGAACAATTTTTATCAGCAGATAATGTCTGATGTCAGATATAAATGGAACCTCCTTCAGCTAAATTAAACATCTATACCTAGTTCCCAGTTTTGCAGGCGAAAATCTTACGAACCACGTCATTTATAAATGCCTAAGTCCTTATCCTCATTAAATGGGTTTTCCTAAAAAGAAGGACAACCGTTAATATTCAGTTGAAATATAAGCAGTTCTTGATATGCCATTCGTCGTTCCTTTTCAAGCGTAAACGTTCCCGATCCTAACATATATGACTATGGAAACTAATAATAAAACTCAATAGGGTACAAATGGGCCAATAAAAAAAGCTGAGCCTTAGTTATTCTGATTTCGGGCCTCCACAGTTCTAATAAAGTAGAACTTGCTATCGACGTCGTATTTCGACGCCAGACGACCCGTCGTCGACTGAGCCAAAACTTTTCATTGTCGAAGACAATTCTGATGTATGGCTGTAAAGTGAACTTCAAGTTCCATTGATTATGATCTTGAAAAACTATTTCAAAGTTTTCGCCTTTAAGAAAGTTTTCTTCAAGCTTTCCTTTGTTTGAAATCTTCGATCATATGGCGCCCGTTTCTTATTCTATTAGCCGCAGAATAGCCCTAAATTCCTTTCGAGCGTGATCCTTTTAAAATTTTTGCTTTATTTTACAGGGCTTTCTTGAGAATCCTGTGTGTGTGCTGTCCGAGATCGGTGAGACGAAAATACCAGTCTGCCTTCAGGAGTAAACCTAGTCAGGTGAGAACATCTGTAATTTATTTTCTTTTCTCTTTTCCTATCACATAAGGGCACAAGTTTCAACTGCGTTCAAGACGAATTTAATTGAAAATAAACCAGAAACTTCAGCTGGGTGAACGTTGTAATCGGACAGAAACGCGTAGAATCGGAGACGAACAAATGTGACTTTGCAGGCAAGATTTTATAAAAGTTATCTTAAAATTGTCTGAAATTGATCAAAATTGGCGTCAACCCCGATGTATGGAATAGAGTGCTAATTTAAAAACTTTTTTGGGAAAGAGATGAACTAGGCAAACTTTCAGCAACGTTTCAAGCGCTCCAGGGCGCCGCAATATGCTATTTCTTTTCACGCCTCTGAATTGGAAAGTTTATAATTTGCCCGAAGCATACTTGGGTGGTTGAGTTTGAAAGTTTCAAACTGCGGGCAATGAAAAGTATCAAACCACTTAGATTCTAAGATAGCGCATCAACAAAAATAACAATGGGTTTTTGCTTTGAACCGACGGAATCTTCGATTAACGTGAATATAAAACCGACAGTGCGACTTCGATCATTCGAACTGATTTGGATCTGGACTGGAACTGGTCGAACCTGAGGTTTCTACTTCTTCTAATCGTCCATGTTCAAAGAAAAAGTGAACTCAATATTTAGTTTTTTATCGTCGGTATCACCTCCAGCCACAAAAGTGGCTAAGGCTGAATAACTACAGCACTATTTCTTCCATCTAATTGCTCAGGATTTATGTAATTCAAGAATAAAATGGCATTAATTGATTGCTTTTTTACCAAAAAGGCATCTGCATGCAATTTCAGGGCTGGCAAAATATTAACATCCGCAGACAAAATGAATTAATTGCGGCATTATCTGATTTCCTTAAGGAAAAAGCAAGAGACGCTTTAGATATGCTAAATGTTGAAAAAACAATTAGTAGAAATTATCGAGGTCGCACTGTATTATCTTTTTACTGGATTTATAAGAGTTACCGTTTTTATTCGCAACAAAAGCGTCCTGAAAGCTTCTTAGGTCAGTACATCAAATATTTTTGCGCTGCGCTGACAACAACGAATCAAACAATCTTCAGCAATGGAGCAAGTAACAGATAGCAATAGGTTGTAGTTCGGAGACTAAGACGGTGGAAATACAAATTTATTGCCTACAAACGGTGAAATTTTCAGGAGATAAATGGCTAAAAGTTGTCGAGAATTTAAATGAATTTATCGATGTCGATTGTTGGAATAAGATCTATGTGTGGGACGTTCATTTTGCTTGAACTTTGGCTCTGCAGTTCGTGTTAAGGAAGATAATATTTTATGTTACCTGGCGCGGATTTTTCACTCGGGCGATCACATTATTTAGTGGGGAATTGAAATGAAACTTCAATAGTTACTTTTTATTGGCTATCTATCTTATATGTGCAGTAAGTGTAAAAATCTTAATTTAAGTAAGTCGTCGCACTTCTGATAATTAAAGTAACACACCATTTGTTGAGTAAATGGGTTTTTCAGTGGTTCGACAATTGATTGATTTATGCTACATTCTCTTTACAGCGCTTCTCGTCAACACGAAACTATTCGTCCTACTCACTGCGCCACAACTCGTGCGAGCAGACCTTTATATAGCACAGGACCCCCAGTGTCCTTCCATCCCTTACCGTTGCCGCGTCCCTACCTTTTGCTAGATCCAAATCATTATTCTACTTCTAACCTATTATCTTTATTCATCTTCTTTTCAACAAAACATCTCAAAACACTTCAATTTTCTAACCCAAAAGCCATCTTGTCTTTACATCTTGTTCGATAATCCCTTATTATTCCACAACACTAAAGGGGTCAGCGTGCTATAAGGGAACCTGAAAACACGTAAATAATGTGTGACGTCTTTTGCCTACATGTTTTTTTTGCCTTGGAGGTCTTATTTTTATCTGGATCGCAACATTGATTGGTAAAGAGGAGAAAAAGTTAATTGTTTTTCTAACACTGCGAAAAGGGTTGAAATGAAAGTACGATAGTACCTTATTTCCATCGGTTTGTTTTTTCTTCAAACAAGAATTGGTGGAGTTTATTTAGTTTGCAATGCTTATTCTTGCGTTACAATTACAAATAGTCGTTTTTAGGAAAAAATCTGTTAATCGCTAATTCTGGCAATGGCCAAAAGACCTGAAAATATGTGAAAATAAGGCACAGTATAAAGTAAAAGCATTGAGGTTGTAATTTTGTAATGTATAGATCTATTTTCATTTTATTTATTGATTTTCAAAATTTTCTACATTGGACACATTATTCCTATATGCAATTAAGAAACGTTTGGCCAGAAAATGAACTACAAAATCTTGTTCGTTTCTAAAGCTGAAAAGTGGATTTTTTTATTATTAGCAATCGTTTATAGAGCCATTAGTACGTGTTCCAACAATAAGACCTTACTCTCATGTCATAGTAAGGTTCGATTTTTTTTTATCAAGATCCAGATAAATTATGAGATAATCAAGATAAATATTGGTTGAATTATTTAAGCTGAGTATTGCATTTTTTTCTTAATTATAGATAGTTAACATCCAAAATTGTAAAGGTTTATATTTCATTTTTACGATCTTATCTTAATTTTTTATAGTATAAAATTTTGAAATTTTATCAACAACGGGAAAATTTTTAAAAGAAATTTTAAGCAGAATTTACCTTAAGTAATTCGACCCATCAAAATTGATTATTATTCAGTATACACAAGCGCTTATTATCAGCTGCCGCACAATATTCGTTTTTTGTTTGACTGCCAAATATTTTTGCAAATATTAAATTGATAAAACCAAGGCATTTTTATTGAAAATTAAACATGTTTAGAAACATACTACGAGAGACGTTTTCATCAAGCAGATAGAAAGAAAACTTCATAAAGCAGCGGTAAATTTATTCAATTACTGTGATGTTTTAGAGTCATACTTTATTATCAGCTCGATTTCTGTAAAATGTGTTCAAGAATCCATATTGTTCCTAAACTCCATGGCGCAATAAAATCGGTTAGGGTTTTCCATTGTCCTGAATTTTCCAGCGTGCAGCACGTGCCTTTATTCCATCTGCCTCTGACTAAGTTTAAGGGATTTTCCGCTTTTATGTGAAAAATAATACTATTTGAATTGATCTCTTCGACACGGTTATACATGCTGGCATTAGGAAATTCGATTAGAACATTTTAAATAAAAAAGCCGATTTTTGAACTTATGTAAAAAATTACATAAGTAATTAAAAATTGTTCAAATGACTCAATGTATTTCAGGTTCAGCGGCAAAATTAACAAAACGATATCGCAATAAGAATCATTTAAAATGTTGCAAAAATATCTGGTAAGATACACTTGTTTTGAATTTAATGTTATGTTTGTAAGCGTTTGTCGAGAATGTTTTCAACGCTGCAGTTCGAAACGTTTCCCCTTAACTGATGACCTCCTATTACCTAAATGAGTATTCTAGTCTGAAAATATCAAGACTGCAGGTCAATGAAATATGTAAAAATGTGTTTAAATTTTTCGGGTCAACGAATTCAGCATTAGATCAAAGTGAATCGAGTTTCGACCACGGATTTGGTTGGCAAATCTAATTTGGTGAAACTCAATGAACAACTACGCAAAATAGGTTTCAGAGCAGAAAAATCAGAATCAACGTTTATAAAATCCACAAAAATGTCATTAATTAACATGTTAAGCGAACGCAGTAATTTATGCTAACAAGTGACTTCACAGAAAGAAACTACGTCCAAATCGGCACTTTTGGAAAAAAACTGCTAAAAATGTTTTAACGCAGCATCAGAAAAACTACTCATTTAAATGTATCACGTAAATTCCGTCTGATTCAACTGATTTACTGGTTTCTTTTACAAATAGGTCGATGAAGGTTTCGGCGAAGTAATGTACAACTTTCTAAGCATTTTCAAAGCTCACGCCCGAGTTTAAGCTCGACAAAGGTTTGTGATTTTACATCCCTCTACTTCTTTCCATCTGAGGAAATTTCCCAGTTTCCCAGGCATGACCACAAATCCGTTTTTGCACTTTACGTCTCGGTAAGCACTGACCAAACCCAGACTTAGAATGGAATGCAGATTAATACAATACCTATAATTAATTCTATTGTGCATTTTATTTTGTAAAAATTAGGAAAAAATCTTAAATTTATAGAAATCACTTACTGTTTGGAAGAAAAACGTAGTCGCTTAATGTGCAGGTTAAAAAGTTATTAAATTGAACCAAGAAAAAGTCTTATTTTTGTACGATGCTTCAATTCTTCATTTATTTTATGTTTCGGTCTATGACCAACCAAGTATCTATCAGAAATAACTTTAGTTTGATGTAACCCATCCTGAAACTGCTGGTAAAAGTAACGTCTTCCAAATGTATGGCTGTTTACCGGTATTAAGAGTAACATTAATAATATCCACCTTCCTATCCGTTTTGTTGACATGCACTGAAGAACAGTGTATAAGTCTCAATTTGAAATACTTTTGGCGAGCATTTCTCCTCGACGGGTTAATGTGTGTTTCTTTGTTACACACCTCCGGTCATTTCTAGCAGAGTATTTCTAGCGAGCGATGCCTTTGTGCTCTTTTGCAGCTTTTCGAGCTCAACAAAAGCCTTTTTATTAGCGAAGACTTTACCAGTGACTTCCCAAGTTTTTGTTTTGTCCGCATTGATTAATTTGTTCCTATTCGTAAATTTTTTAATCTTGCCCTTGTGTTTCGAGATATATCAGTTTTGTTAACAAAGTGTTGAAACAACAGCTGAGATTAATAAAAAACCAACGACAAATTGCCTTTTAGGTTTGACTGCGACACTCCAATTTGTTGAGAAATATTTAACGGGAGTGAAAGGTGATTAGTCAGTAACGATAAATTCAAAAATTACCGTTGTGCTAGTTTCCTAGATGATAGCATTCTGCCGCTATAACTAGAACGGAACTCATCATCATAAATTTTAACTCATCCTTGACTCCGAACGTACTGAGTTTTACAAAGACGATTAATGGTGGTCCCGAAATGACGGAATAAATGTTTTAGGTTTAGAAAGTGAACATAATTAGCCGCCTACCAAACGGGACTGATTTAAATGATATCACTGGGAACGACGCAAAATTTGCATTTCATTGAAATTAAAAGGGCCACCGATATTTTATGGGACTGCTTTCAAGCTAATTACCCSACTCATTCTCTGACAACTGAACTCCACCAGATCAACTTTACATTTTTAGTCATAGCCTCTTAAATGTAGTTTATTTAATCCATTTTTTTTGTTTTTTYCTATTTTAGTGTYGCTGGTAGATTTTTGAAAAATCTAATCTGGCTGTGCTACTTAAATACAAATTGCAGCTATACACAAATGCTGCCTAACATTCRAGATAGGTTCAATTGAAAATAAAATTTGAAAGTCCAAGTTCAAGTGTTGAAAATGTTCTAGAGACTCTGGAAATAGAAATGTAAATACGTATCATRAAAGAARCTCATGTCCCGAAAAGGATGTGAATTYCGATCAATATGAACCGAAGATATTTTCTTCAAGTTTGCCGAAGTGTCCAACCAAAAAAACACGTCTTTTGAAGCACGATGATAACATAAATATTTTAAATGAAAAGTTCAATTGGCAAATTATTTATTATTTATATTAAAATTTTTCCATTTCCAATGCACGTAAAAATTTTCAAAAAAAGATTTCAAAAATAATGAAGAAACACATTAGAATATACATTCGCATTTTGAAATGCAAAACTGGGTTTTCGCAGTGAAAAAAATTGTTTTTGTGTTCTGGTTCATAGACATTSAAGACTCATAGAAAAATTGAAAAATTTGTTGAAAAATTGAAAATATTGTAATTATACGCAATATTTTCCATATTAAGAAAATATACAGCCAACGATTAAGACAGACAAGTTTAAGACAGATGTGCTGTAATATAAAGTTCTAACCGTTAATATCTCAAAAAGGGCTGCACACAACAAAGAGTTTTTTGTAATCACGTGTAATTTGCAATATTTTTTTATACAAAAAAATATGGGTCACAGATATTCTTATGTTTGCGCGCTAGTATCAATTAGCAATTAATCAGTCAGAAGTAGACTTGACCATTTAGATAACGGAAGTTTTATGCCGACTAAATCTAATTTTCAATTAGCAAGTAAATGATGGATTCTTCGTAATGCCAAGAAGTCCATTAGCTGTGTCGTGGGCAGTAGAAAAGTAAATTAAATGAAATAGAGCCGGAAGAACAGCGTAATCCGCTAGTTCGCGTGTACAGTAAAATGCACTTCGGTGATAAACGAGCTGTGTAGATTTTACGGTCGTTTAATATTGTTTTATCCAATATTTCGTACTTTCCATGGAGTCGTTTGACATTTTCGACCCTTTCCTCCGCTTTACTCTTTCTTACTCTCCTGCTTGAAGGGCTTATTATTAGTAACAACTTAATGCAATGGAAGAAGTAGTTAATAAAAGTTGGTTTAGCTGGAGTTTCATCGTGAAATCCGTAGAACAGTTTGACCTTAATAATTCTGGTGCATTCAAGGGAATTCCTGCGGCAAAAGCTCATTAATTTCTTATGGTTATGACATACGATTACATCCAGGATTATAGGCTAATCTAATAATAAAGCCTGCCTTGAACGACATCGTAAAATTATAACGATGTGAGTGGTGTCTCTAAGATATCAATTATTTAAAGGAAAATTTCTTGTTTCGCGCCGTTAAATTATTAATCGAAGATTAACAAAATGCTAAACTCTATTGGAGCTTGATGGCAATTTTAATAAAACTTATAATAAATTAGCAAGAGCAAACCAGGAAAAAGTAATATTTATACAGAAAAAACATTTAACACATTTAAAAAATCATGTTCAAATAATTGTGAACTGATGACGGAAAGCGGGTAATCGCTTGTAATTTTGATCTAAACTGGGACAACTCAAATGAATTAGTCCTCAATATTTGAAAGTTGCTCGGGAGAAAGTTTCTTCAAGGTTTTATTTCAAAGGCACAAGTTGGATCATCTAACTTTTCCTTACTTCTGCGTCTTCGTGAGTTTTTGCGTTGTCGTGTTAATAAATATTGCTCGTTTTTATTTGTGTCATAATATGTAAAGTTCTCGACAGCCGAATTAAGTGGTTTTCAGCTAAATATTTATTTTAAATCAACTTTCTGCTAATTGAAGAAGTGAAAATAAAATATTTTCTACACTATGCTCCTCTCATTGAATCCACATTTATAAACTTTTATAAAACTCTCGAAAATTACGTTGTTGAGTACTTACCTACAGCAAGGATACATGCAGGTAATAGTAAAATTGCATGTTTCACATCTATTCGTTCGTTTGTGTTAACTAACATGTTATACCCTTTAATTGTGGTTTTCTAGCACTTTACCTGCCTGTTAATATTTTCACCCTGTGTGCGTTTCCCTTTATAACCTCAGAAGTTGTAGCGATTTTCCAGTTTAAATTTTTTACTTATTTTCGGTTCTTTATAATACTGCTTTCACATGAATCACCACACACAACTAAGAAAGCTGTTATAAAGCACCTGGATATTCAAACGCCATTTACCAATTGAATTTTTCTGTTCACAGTACTTCAACTCACATACGCAAGTGCTGGAACCCACAGCCAGTACTTGTACTTATGCGTCCGTTGGTCAACATGAACTTTACCCTTTATGACGACATATCAAGCATCATCAATCTGCCCTTCCGATGTCTCAAGCTGGAATGATCACTCCAGGAAGTCCTACACATCGAGTAGTGCATTCCTGCACAGCATCACCAAATTCCATAAGAATAACGTAATCACAACAGTTTAACGATGAAGATCAAATAATTCATTCTAAGTTGTGAATAAGCCACTGGTGTTAATGCGAAATGAAATTATTGAAAAAAGAAGCGTGCATTCGTGTTTAACCAAAATCTAGCATATGAATAAGATAAACAACATGAAAAGAGTACAGATATTTTACTGCAACTTTTTTTCCCAGATTTTAAACCGAAGGAAATAGTTCATTGAACAGTGATGACGAATTGTAAATTATTGCGAAGCTCGGTTTTTCAAGATGGTTAAGTATATATTAGTACAAAGAAATAGAAACATAATTGTGTAGCAAAGAAAATGTTTTCAATTACTTTGGATAAAATATTATGTGAATTAAAAAATCCTTGAAAAACAAGTAATCTAGCTTGCGGGGAAAATATTAGCAATATAAACAATAAAGTGTTGAAAGAAATGCAAAGTAAAGTTGAAAACTAACAGCAAATGAACAGAGAAAGAATAGAGTTCAGAAAAAACCTTACAAACTAAATAACTGCTTGGAACGATATGAACAAGATGCAATCAAGTTGAATGGCATTCATTTTTCTGATAATAAGAATAATAAATATATTTTAGAGTAAGCGATAGTGAAATAAAATTTAAACACATGCGAACGAAATGAAAAGATATATTACATCAGGAACAGTGCATGGTATTCTAACATCAAACAAAAGTATCAAGGAAAGCCGAAATCGACAAATAAATAGATTCCAACTAAAAAAACGTACATTTTTTTCTTCTTCTTCTTCTTCAATAACCATTTAATATCTATTTTTATCAGCCTAATTTCACTGTGGGTTGAATTTTGTACGTAAATCTGTGTTTCAACCTTTGGTTTTTAATGTCCGACTAATATGTTTATATCCACAATCGGTCGAGCAAAGCAAAGACAAACTGCAAACCGCAAATACGTAAGATCCTCAAATGTATGCAGATCTATTTAAATTTACGCAGAATATTCTTTAAATTCTTATATTTATAAAAATGTTGATTGCCTGATTGATTTGCTCTAGCAACTTTATTTGAGTTTTTATCTCCAAAATGCATCTGAAATTTAAATTCGAAATAAGTTCTTCGGATAAATGCATTTATTAGGAGAAATTGCACATTTACGTTATTTTGTGTCATCCAGACATGTTGAAAATATCTGTACAGTTTTCTGCTCATTTGAAAAAAGCATGGTGTTAAATTGTCTTATACAAGCAGGATCAATGCTGACACTCAAATTGTTCTAAATTTTAATGCATGCTACTTTCGGGGAAAACATACGCTTTTTACGTAAACTTAGGAATACCACAGATAATAAAGTATATCGTTTATGTTTGGCAATGATCTTCCTCAATACATTCTCATTTCAATTATTTCTGAGTTATCAGCAGGTTTTTTAATCACAAAGTGATAAAAATACATTGGCAAATTACGCATTATCGTAGGTAAGCGCGTTTGTAAGAAACGCAATTCTACTTAAAATCTATTTTTTTATTAACTGCGTATTCCTAAAGTAGAAAATTAAATTAGGTAACTGTGTTTAATGTTTAAGCTAAAACAGTATGAACATCTTTCATAAAATGTTTCGATATAGGTAGATAAGTAATATTTATTTTTCATTCTCATTGATCAAACAAAGAGTGGTCAAAAATTACCTTGTTTAATTGGGCGTGACACTCGTCAAAGTTTTGATTATTAATGCCATTTTCTGCGAAAACCAAAGATTTAGATAAACTAACCTTTATTTTCTTAGAAGCTGTAATGCAGGCTTCTATCCTTAGATAAATTGTTCGGGGTAACCTCTCCATCTTCCAAGCACCTGCAATGTTTGCTCAGTATTAGAAATGGAAAACTGATATTTAAGAAATTTGATGAGCTATATTCACTGTAAAAAAGACGATTTAAAAACCACCTAACATTTTTAATTATACATATTACAGTATGGTTTTATTTGAGCCAATCCTGGTAAGTTCGATGTTGAGACATCGGCTGTGATATTTAAGATTTTGTCAATATCATCAATGTTCTTTTCCCGCTGATTCTACCCTTTATTGTATAAACTACCTTTTTAGAATGTGGGTATTCTATACTTAGTTGCTCAGTGCAAATATGTGTCAAGCCGGAACTTGAGCTTAAATATAAATACTCTCATTAATCCTACCGTAATTAATTAAAAAATGTGTTGACAATCTGTGATATAAATATTGTAAATATAGTTCAATAGAACAAACGTTCTTAATAATTGTAGATTGATGCAAGTTGCCATTTCAGTAAAAATGATCAACTTGTTTTAGTTTTAAACGTTTTAAGACCCTATATATAAAATAGTACCTAACTGTTTCACATTGTAAGTTTTCTTTGTATTCGTGTCCAGAGTACGTTTCTTGAGGTGAGAAGCTCTAGACATTACAGCCAATTTGGACATAAAGTTTTAATTTTGTTATGTAGCCTTTTTGCGTAGCTCAAGTATGTAGGTGTTAATAAACTAAAATTAGTCCAAAAATTTTCTTTTATAAAATTGGACTCAGCCATTATGTAACTGAACATCATGCTAACGATTCAGTTGCTCCAAACAGTAACCGAATAGTCAAACAATCCAGTCCAATTATGTAATGCAGTTATTAACCATGGTAAAATAGCTGCTTATTCCGGTTCAACTCCCGCTTACCAGAAGTCTTTTGTAAATAGAGCAACTACTAAAATTTACTCAATTTGTGTAAATACTAAATAAAATTGGGAGAGTTTTGTAAATAGCTGTTTTAATTAAACATTGAAATGTTGTTAAGTTCTTCATATAACCAATCAGAGAATTATACGGTATTGTTTCAATATTAAAGCTTTCAGCTAAGCGGCAGTTGAGCTTATTTACCTAATTAAGAAGTCTCTAAATCAATTGACAGTGACCGATTGTAAATCGTTGTGTTGTGTTGTTTGGTTCAATTATAAACTTAATGTTGTCAATTTTTAAATAAAGACATTCAAGTAATTGTTACCTATTTTTTATTAGATGTTTTACTCGAAAAGTGCTTCAGAATGCAAAAGCAATCAAACATCTCAAGCAGATCCTCACAATTCTTTTTCTATATCAGCTTAAGTAACTAATAATTGCTTAAGAAAACTGTATGTGTGTAACTTCCTGTTTGAGTTAGTACGTGGCATCTGCTTGCGACAATAAAAATTACGCGAACTCGAAAATGACTTCGCCCTTTAAGTTTCGTATTGATCGTAAAGCGGTGGATTTATAGCAGCTTTCCAGTCGCCCTTTGTAGCACCAGATGGGGTTGTATTGCTATCAAAGATGCACGTTGTTTAAAACATCATTAAAGTAAACCCGCATTGTTCCATAGTTCTGTCATAATTTTATTTGAACATTTCACGTTATATCACAAGCACAATACAGATTTTTTCAAAAAAAAACTAGGAATTTTTGCAATTTAAAGGCAAAGGCTTATGGATCCACTTAGGCCCATTTTCTTGATTGAATTCACCGGCTGTATGAGCACACTGGCTTCTCAAAAGCCATTTGGTCGTCAGTAAACCTTCAATACCCACCGGGCCTCTGGCATGTATTCTTCCCGTACTTATTCCAACTTCCGCCCCTGGAAAAACTATTAGCTTCATTTTGGATTAAATAAGAATGCTTACCTAAACCAAATCTAAATCCATCGGCCATTCTTGTGCTGGCATTGTGAAAAACACAAGCCGAATCCACTTTCTGCAGGAACTTTTCAGCTGTCTCATCTGTGAATTTCACGAAATATTCAGCAAATCAAACATAGTTCTGTGATTGAAACCTGGGGTTTCACTTACGATTTTCCGTAATAATTGCATCAGTATGACTGCTGCCATATTTGTGAATGTGTTCAACTGCCTGATCCAAGTTATCTACCACTTCAATGCACAATTCCAAAGAACCATATTCTTTTTTCATGGATTTGGCTAATGGAGGTCCGAACTGAAGACATTTGGATAGATTAGGACCTGAAAAGAGTTTAAGTCAGAGTCCCGCTTGTGTAAAGAGAGCATTCCTACCTGAGTTAATTTTAACTTGAAGGTTCTTTAGGCCGCAGCACAGTTCGGAGAAAAAGTCGCCTTCCATTAAGTCTTTATGTAGAAGAATGGTTTCGACAGCATTACATGCCGTGGGATAATCGGTTTTTGCGTCGTTGACAATTTTGAACACTTTTTCGAGATTCGCATCTTTATCAACATAAATGTGGCAGATACCTAAATTAAAAAACTCGTTATACAGGAAATTGGTAACTACTATATTTTCTAGAAGGAAATTTAGTAGGGCATTAACACACATAAATTATTTAATTGATTTCACTGCAATCACTTCTTTAAGTCAAAGACATTCATTGATAAGCGAAGTCAGTCATTAAAAATTAAATAAAGCAATAGATCAATTATCATATTAAATTGCATCCCAGAAAGCAACTTGTTATAAACCATGAATATTTTATACCAAAACTCATGTGATTTTTCACAATTTAACTGATAATTATTACCTTCGGAATGACCCATTACTGGAATTTTCCGAGCATTTTCCTGGATAAACCGGATCAGCTGATATCCACCTCTTGGTATGATGAGGTCGATATACTGATCCATATTGATTAAATCAGCTATTTCTTCTTTGGTACTCACCTACATTTTACAAATCCCATATTTATCCGCACCACAAGTCGTAACATAGATTGTTGCAGAAAATATAAAAGTGGATTTTAATTCGACTCACCAGTCCTACTGCTCCTTCACATTTAATGGTCTTTAGAGCTTCATCGACAATATTTTTCATGATTTCATTAGAATAAACAGCTTCGTCTCCGCCTTTCAAAACCAGACCATTACCTGAAGCGATTGATAGAGCGGCGATTTGAGGCAACACGTCCGGCCTGGCTTCAAAAATGACCAGTAAAACTCCTATGGGGACAGTGATCTGGGACAGTTCTAGTCCTTCGGCTAATCTATTCGAACAATTGCTCTTTTAATATAACAAAATCAGTTTAAACGTTTTTTTAACCGACAATGTTCTTTTGACCACCTTGCCAAGAATGGTCTTACTGGATTCAGCCACCTGCCGGATTCCCACTGATAAAGCCTTGACTTTCGACGGGGTTAAAGTAAGTCTTCCGATTAGAACCTGCGATAAGCCATTCTTCTTTGCGTCCTCTAAATCCTTTTTATTTGCCGCCATGACTTGTGCAGTTTTCGCGTCAAGAATTTCAGCAAATTTATAAATACATGCGGCTCGTTCATCAGGAGTTACAAGATTCAAAGCTCGACTAGCTCTTCTAGCTGAAACCATTTCAAGGTCCGTAACGAGTCTAATGCGGCTTTGGATGCTTTACCGTCTGCTGCGACTTTTTCAGTCGTATCGTCATTACAGGTGTTTCCAGGCACGAAAAATGTACCGAATTTCTTTCCAGAAATCACCGTTTTTAATGCATCCGATATCATTCCGTTTGCCACTACTACTGAAGTTCCTTGATCCACTGCCCAAAGTGCCGCATCAATTTTCGTAGAGATTCCTCCTAACAAAGTATTTTTACATAGATATAAAGCAGTTCGCAAGCCATATCTACGTGTAGTTTTCATAAGCAATTAAATAAAATATATATTTTACCAACCTACTCCTACGCTACTCGCGCGTCCGAACTCTATTCCCTTTTTATTTCCTTTGGAGAAAGTGTGAAGTAATTTTGCATTTGGATCGTCCGGGGCTTTATCAAACACACCATCGATTGAGGAGAGTATAATCAGCAAATCCGCTCCTACTTCGGACGATAGCATTGCAGCCAAAGTGTCGTTATCTTTGAGATTAATGCCTTTGCATAACGTGGGACCTAAAAATCAGAAAAGCATTAAAACCATCACGCATTAGTTGTTTGAAAAGACCTCTGTACATTTTTCTAGATGTCTGCAAAGTTCTTTCTGTCATCACTTAAAAAAAGGTTTTCTTTAAAAGAATTCTTCGAATAAAATTTTTAAAGAGTTCTGATCGCTAAAACTTTATTTGAAATAGGTCGAAAGTTCTAAGCGCGCAAAGTCCTTGCTTCCCAGCTTGTAAATTGTAGGGCGAGGTCACAAAACGTTATGAGCTATCTGGGTTAGAACTAGCGGCGTTTTTTGCTTTTAGTCTTCACACGAACTCTATTGCTTGCTTACTTCGCAAATTAATCGCAGAAATGTTTGTTGGATTGTTGAGTAATTTGCTAGTTACTATCATACGGAAGATAACCCAAAGTACCAATTATCTCATAGAAAATTTGCAGAAAAGTTCATCAAACTTACATGGCAGTTCCGGCTGAGGTAAAACAGCATCGTTGGTGTTTAAAATGGGAATGACTCGAAGACTTATTAACTTATGCAAAACGTCCTTCAAGACTTTCCTGTTAGCATCTTGATAAATATCCGTTTCAGTTACCAACACTTGAGCACATTGAATGTCGTATTTTGTGAAAAGTGTATTGTACAGATACATCAACCCTGGCTGGCCTACTGCGGCTGCCGGTTTTTTATCTAGTTTTGCCAGATCTTTCTGAAATTTGTTAAATATTAATATGCCCATTCTGTCTATCCATTTATAAGTTCTCAACAGTTAAGCCCCGGGTTTACATACTCGAGTTTTAGCTGATAAACTCGTTCTTCCATGCGCAACAGATCCGCTGGTTATAAATAGGATTTCCCTTCCTTGATGGTGAAGATCGGCCATCTAGAGGAGTATAAGTTCCACATTGGTTTTTTTTTGTTAGACGAATGTTAAACGTTTACTTGTTCTATAAGGTTTGCCAGTCTGCTCATTGCAATACGTTTGCCTGGATCCTGAATAATAACAGCACTTCCAAATTTGATCATTATTCGTTTAGCATCCTTCAACTTATCCCGATGGGAGATCGGAATCCTAGCCTTTTCCACAGGTTTGCATGCATCCTAAATTGATATTTAAATGAGCATTGTTTGCGGTTACATTTAAATATACTTTCCTTTTTTTCGTGTGCCTTTTCAGTAACTTTTTCACTCAACAATCTATGAGAGATTCCGAGCAATGGATTTCTCAGCGAAACTTTCCAGCTGCGGTTCAAAGCCATGACTGCAGCTTTTCATCGATTGTTCAAAGCACAATAATTTAAAAAAATAAAAATAAAATTAAATAAACTTAAATTTCAATTGACAATACTACCAGGACATTGTCAGTGCGGAAAACCAGCAAACTCGTTGCCATCCTTTGTTATTTTTTGTTTAATTTACGTATATTTTTGATTTCTTACCGTTAATAGAAAATGTATGTTAGGGGCGTTCTTAAAAAAGGAGAAAAATAGAAAAAACGTGTTCAAGCAGCCTGAGGTTTTTTATTTATTCTTTGGATTTACTTAACAGACAAAACACTAATATAATTTCTTAATGATGTTTACAATTATTCTGAATATTTCCAGATGGATATGGATTGGTTGTGTTCAGCTGCTCGATAGAGTAACATCAAAGCGGCTTGTGTTGCATGTTGAATAAATAGACACTAGTTTAAAGGTACAAAACATTTTCACTATTCACAAAACTAAATTCGTTTAACATTAAACTAGAAAGAATAAAATTCGCCTATTAAAGGTTTATATATTTTACTTTTCGCTTGATGGGCTTAATATACTTTTGAAATCTGTATCAATATCGACTTCGTCAAACTGAGGTTCTTTAACTATTGACGTCGATGTGCTTGGAACTACTATATTCTTGACGGAGGATTTTGAAGTACTTGGTTGACTAAACAGTTCTTCTGTACTTTCGTCGTCATCATCATCGTCATCCTCATTTTCTGCAAAGTAAATTATAAGACAAATTTTTGTCATATTTTTATTGACGCCTTTGCTGTCGGAATTGGATACAGTTATCACTTACGCAAATAACTAGGAAACCGATATCGGTCTTTCCATATTCTATAGACGAACCAGGCCCCCATGGCTATCAAAACTAGGGTAATTAAGGCTATGAGAATCCTTATTAAGTTAATCTGAAATTGATGTTTTATTGAAACATTTCCATTCAACTACGTGATCGAAACTAATAGGATTTTAAGTACTGTCCTCCAAATCCAAACAGACGGAAAAAAATTACACATTTGTGCGAACATCTAAAATGTCTGTAGTCTTGTACTAAAACAAGTACTTACTTACATTATAGTCGTGTTGATAAAGATCATCCCAATTATCCTGCACCAGCATCTTAACAACCCGGATATTCATGTCTTCTCCTTTAACGGCTCGGGAAACACATTCATACAGACCTTCTTCTTGTTTCGAAACAGCCTGAAATAATCAAAACCAACTGACATCTCTCAAAAAATTCTCTCCGCATCTCATCGCACTTCCAAAAAAATTAGTAAAAGATATAAGACTAATATACTCACCATTATTGTTAAATTGCCGGACAAAATTCCGTACCTAAATTTGGCACTATCATAATTATTTGCTGGTCCTATGATAAGTCCCTTATTAACAAGATGCCAGTATTGGAAATTGTGTGCATTATCATTGCTCATACATTTCAGAATTACTGTACTGCCACTAGCAGCTATTCGCACTAAAATCTCTTCTTTACTGTCGATATCTGTGATAGGAATCGGAACAACTCGCCCAATATAGAATATCAGAACAATTAGTGTCTGGTAAAAGTCTATGTGCATTTTTTTAAGTTTCCAGAGTTCTATGTTAGCAAATTCACTTAGCAGGTTGAACTTGATCGTTTCATTCGCGTCCAATTAGGGGAGAAGCTAAAACAAAGTGAAAAACAAGTGTAAATCACGCGTTTTTGTGCACATAATTTACAATCAATCAAATGTGTATAACGTGTTTGTTGTGCTATTAATATGTCTGCTTGTTGGAATAGATTTATGCTGTATATTATTAAGGTGCATTGCATTACATTTCTTCGGGCAGCTTAAATTTTAATTAACTTGTCGGAATTATGACAAAACATTGAGTTTGCTGGAATTTTTACATAAGAATTTGAGAATCAATTACTATAAGAATGCAAAATATTGGTCCACTTAATACTCACAAATTTGTTGCTTCAATTCAGCCACTTAAAAACATCATTACAATCACGGAAAATGTGGATTTATATAGGAAAATCGATTATCATCATCCATCTTAGATTGATTGGTTATTCAACACTATCTAGATGAATGATGATGAAATTAATACTGAATAGTAGTAATAAAACATCATAAACTTGCTATCTGGTCATCAGTCATTGAAGTTATGACAAAATCATTTCCTGATTATGGATGGAAAATACGGGTACTTTGGAATTTGGAGTTACCGGATTCTTCGAATTTGATCGCTCTGAATCAAAACATCGTGTAACTATTTATTTTTCGACTTGAAAATAGTATGTTCTTTCAAGGATCAAAAAGGAAAATCAAATAATTGAATTAGAGCATATAATAATGTTAAAAACAAAATTTGGGCATTGAATAGAAAACAAACAACAATTTCTATAATCGGTAAGAGAATCCAAATTTATGCACCAGCTGAGTTCCCTGAATTCAGTCTTTTTATTTTTATCTTATATTAAATTTTATTTTTTCACTACTTGCATTAGTTTTTTTTAAGATCTTTAAAAAGTTTTACTGCATGGGAGAATGTGTAGAAATTATACCTATTTTTGCTTCAGAGAGTCTCTGTTTTTTAAGAGCAGCAAATATGTATGCATTTGAATAAAAGCTCTAAGCTATGAATGAGTATGTTGGACATCTACTTGCTTAACTGCTTCCTTTGCCAATAGGAAAATAAATCCGTCAATATTACTTGAAGAAGCTCAAGTTTAATTTGGTTCGGCAAAAATCTTTTCACAAACTGAGTCTGGACTTTGGATTTGGTTTATTGATTACTTTTTCAGTAAAATTGAAATGCTACTTTTCATAAACCAAACTGCCGACAGAACGAACAGAGCGAAAACCAGCACTAATTTAGAGACGATTATACCTAGAGCTTTGAATGTCTGGACTGGTAAGTTGAGGGATCCTATTTTTGGGCCATTATTATATTGCAAAAGTTGGAACCAAATATCGGAATGCGATAGAGCTTTTATTGGATCACAAAGCGCCAAAAACCAAGCAAACCATTCAGAAAATATGTTTTAAAATAAGTATTTCCTACATTTGTAGAAAAACGGCGCTTTTTCTCATTACCAACTTCCAATAGGGCAGTGGTTAAATGTTAATTATCTAAATAAATCGATAAGGATATGAAGCCCTATTGAGTAGCCATCAAGATTCCCATACTCAACGCCACTAAATTTGTTTCTGTCGTGACCTCAAAAATGTGTTGTTTTTAAACCTCAGACCAAATCATTGGAGCACATACGGGAAATACTTATATTCAGAAAACAATTTCCTAATATTCGCCAGAAATTTGAAGACAGGAGAAGAATGAAATTGGCCAGGAAATAATGAAATCCTTTTTGAACAATTCAATTAACTTGAGAAGATACAATTAACTAAATTAGTTTTTTTATAAGTCGACACATACTTCATCAAATGTCTTTAAATTCAACTTCTTTAAATAAAGCAAAATAGTTCCATTTTTCCAAATAGCTGATGCATGAATTTTATTTTCCCTATTTATTTAAGAAACGATTCAAATTTTCAGCTGGTTTCGCTGTATGTGTTGAATATTCTCAATTGTAAGAAAATGATCGATGTTTGTAAACAGATTTATTATATATTTTTACCGAACCAAAGTAAACTTACGGGCCACATGTTAATTACCTTTTGAAAATAAATTGAAAACTACACTAAAAACAACACAGTCTGACCAGTGTATATTTGCCTCTGGATTAACACTCATGTAACACATGGCCTCTTGTGCGTCAGAAGCAGGTAGACACAATAGTAGGTAGAATTCAAAATTTTCCAAAAATGTGTATTTGAAACTTATTTTAAGTTTCTTATTAAGTAAAAGTAAAATTTAAGTAACTTATTAAATTGTGAGGAACTGTACTGACAAGTAAATTAGGAAAGGCTGTTTGGTTTCGCTTGATATAAAATTGTCCTGAGTGCCAAATTGAATAGCAAGCAATATATGAATTGATTGGAACAGGAACACGGTTTTAAAAAATGTTAACTAGCTTAGCAATAGTGGGTGATATAACATTGTTTTAATAGTGATTTTTTAATGCAGATTTTCTAATATTAATTATATATCAAACAATATTTACTGACCAGTTGTGATTATATCGCAATTTTGAGTTTTGAGGGCAAAGCTACACTTTTCAGGCAAACACTTACTATGGGGAAATACGCTCTATTTCGCGACAGAACACTTAAACAGCCGATTTCTTGTTTTTTAGGCACACTTTCGCACAAAAGCCAATTTTCTGAAATTCCTCGATTAAATTACAACACTTATATGAATTCAGATGGGTTGCGATTTGATATGAAAACAATCAATAGAGCGAACTTTTTTAGGTGTCACCTTGTAAAGCTGGCTGTGTAGCGAAGATTCTGCGGCAAACTAAATATTTTCCCAATTTAAAATTAGAAAAGTCGACGTCGTGCAAACGCGTATGCCGGAGAATGACGCCTGATTAGCAAACGGCGTTAACCAACGGCTTTTAATTCCAGATACAATTTTACATAAATTTTTTACTTTATTAAATGTTATGGTTATAATTTCACAGGAGTCAAGTCCATTTCCTTGAGCCACACATTGAACATTTTATCTTCGTTTGGCGTTCCCAACCGGCGCTACCCACCTAATTAAAAAAAATAACTGTTGCACAAATTTACGCAATATTCAGCATTATTAAACTTCCGTGTACTTTCCTAATACTTTTCGCAATTCTCCGTGTGTTTATTTCGCTGAATATATTTTTCGTGACGCTGATAATGAAAATAACATTCACATGACGATCTGCACGTGAATACGACGCATACACTGACGAGCCCCCATATTTTCCACTAATTTTAGATGGGAATTAATACAGATTTTAGAAAACATCTGCTTTCACTTAGTCATTAATATTGTTTTTGGAATATCGGCCTCAAGCTTGTTTTTGCCCATTTTTCATAGTTGCACGTATTTGAGTTGTCTCCTTTCTACTTGATACACATTATATATTAAAATAAATACAAAAGTTTAGCATTTTTTGCAGTAATGAAATAGGAACCTTAATTATCAGAATCGAGAATCAATAGTTAAAGGAACAAAGTATTTCGATAATTTAGCAATATTTCCTTCGTTTTGTTACAGTAGTAACGCAGTCAAACTGATGAGTTTTTGAAGAAAGTTTTTCCTGGCGTTTCGCAAGCATTAATAACATCAAAACCAGCAGATTTTTGAGAGAACCCACGTTCTGTAAACCCGCAAAACTCGACAATTTCAAAGTTCAAGCAATAGAAATGTATACTGAAACATTTTTATTTATCATGTAACACGTCTGTTTTTCTTATCAGCACACCACCTCATGTAGGTTCCCTTTCTTTGAAAATTAAAGTTTAAAGTCATTGAATTGGCCAATTCTAGAGTTTATGAATTTATGAAATTAATCAATTTTTGCCAACTAGACTTTCAACTGGATATTCGGTGAAAACAGGGAAATTAATTTATATTTAATTTTTAGGCAAATAAATCCTTTAATCGTTTTTACTTTGCTTATTTTGGTTCTAAATGCGCTATTTTATTTTCTGACTTTCTGGTAAGATCAAGAGATCTAGACATAGACTTGTGAAGTTATGAAGTTTTGCAATTCACTGAAATCGCTTCTGCCAAATTTTTGAAATTTTAAATCGATTTTCCGATATATTAGAAAGGTGGTCAATTGACTCCTATTTAGTTCTGAGACAAAGAGACTCAGTTAACGACTATCTTGTAATAAACGCCAGTTAACTAAGCCATGAAAAAATATGTTTTTGAAGTCTGCACAAATTAAATATTTAAGCAAACAAATTTACTCGTTTTATGTAATATATTCTTCTACAGGTTTATGTACTCTAATACCAAAAAAGTAATATTTCCAAAAAATTGCAGAAACTGACAATTGAAAATCGTCAAAATATGGAAGAAAAAGTTATGGAAATTAAGTAAATAACGAATCGATCCGAAATATCTGTAACTAATATTTATCTATAAATTGTATACTCATGTTTGTTTACTGTTTATTTCATCATCTGCAGTGAATGTCCCGACCCCCCGCCCAATAATTAGGCATATCTAATCTGGCCAGTTTAAATGTTAAGATAAGCGACCATCAGGTATCAAATTCGAGCAGAATGAGTAATGGTGACAGCCACACTACTTTTGGAAATTTTTTGTCACGTTTGTTTTATTTTTTTCTGATAAAACTAATTAAGCAAGCGATATAAGAAGCAAAATTGTGCAAAGCATAATTTATATATAATAAGGATCTAGTCAAATTTTCCTACACTAGTGGATCTCATGTGATATCGACTGGGTTTACATGTTTTGAGCATTGGGATTTTTTTCGATAATGCAGATGTAAATATTTTTAAATTATGGCGATTGAAAATGAACCACACAATGTGAGATTGGAAGTAAAAATTCATGCTTGAAATTAATATTTTCTAACATTTTAATTCCTTGCACATGTCACCTTTAAGTACATACACAAGCTGTTCGGAAACCTGTTGCAAAACATCTGAAGTTCTAAAAACAGTTTTTCGATTTATCAATAATAGCAAAGCTGCGCGGTATTGAATTTAAGATAAAAAATAACTTTTAGTAAATATGTTTTGCTTCCCCGATTGTTTTCAAATTTGCAATACTTCTTCCAGGGTCTCAAAAGCGGCTCATTTTTACAACATTGATATTTTCACAAACAGTGCCTTGAAAACCAAATCAGAGTATCACGAAATCAATTTAAGTCACATTTGATGTATGATTTGAAGACCTTTCAACCCCCAAAGTAAATATTGCAGTTTTCATCTCTCAACGTAAAGCTCTACTTTGAACTCTTAGTTATCCACTCAATTCTCAGTGACGTAACAATTAATAACTTTTTGGGTCAAAAGGTTTTAATAACATTTACGCTCAACTTTAACCAATGTAAACCATCCTAGCGGTATAAAAATCTTCGAATAGGCCATAGTCCGCTTTGATTCGTAAATAATTCAAACTACAAAATAATCAAAGCTTATCAATACAAATGGATTCTCTTTCTTCAATCCAAACACTCCACTGATGATAACTTCTAATCGCTCAGTTAGTTTGTGGGATGCGAACTGAACAGCATCATGTTGGGTAGAAGTGTTATGAATTCAGCCCCCCGATTCCTCAATCAGGGCTTCAATGGGGTTGGATTCTTCAAGATACCAGGCCAATTGGCTGCTTTGAGGCCGGTTTTGTTGGCAAATTGTCGACAGGCCAGCACTAGTCCTAGATTATGGATTCCATCACTTTCACATGTAAGTTTGAATTAAAAAATTTAGTTTTTCAAAAAACCGTCAATGAAGAAGTAAACGCTAAAACTTTATGACTTTTCCATCTTAATTTCATAGTTTCACAATTCGTCATATCAGCAAGTAAAAATTTCTCTTAAATCAAATCATAGCTCTGTTAACTCATCTTCTGTTAAACAGTTTTTGGTGAATTTCTTCTTGGCAAAAGTCCAGACATTTTGCCAAAGAATGTATACAGAGACAAAGTGAAATCCTTCAACTTCGAGTGGTGTTGATAAACGGGTCAATGTAACCAGATTGCATGTTTTCTTAACTGCCATTTAATTAATTGACTAATAATATAGGAACTGGCGGCTGTCGATTAGACTTGCTATGTTTTCGGTCATAAAGTGAAATTGTCCTAGAACTATTTAATGAATGAACTTTTAATTTAGCTGGAATTTTGCCAATGAAAACGTAAATTTAATCACAAATTGGACATATTTAATTAATGCTGTTTAGTACTGCAGATACCATTAAACTGTTTAATTTGATAACGAGCCACTAATTAGTAGACTTACGTTTGGGTAATGACATCAATTTTTCAAGAATATATTAAATAATGAGAATTTGACGGAAAACCAGCGATCGAAAATAAATTAATCGTGCCAGAATTTTTTATATTGATCGTCTTTTCAAGATTCTAAAGTGGAAGTAAAGTTTTTCTCTTAAAACGTACATGTTTGTGTACGAAATTTTTACACATAGAGAGGAAAAGTTGGAAAAATGAAAAATTACTCAAAAAACTACAAATAGAAACGGTTTCGTTCACCGACTGAATTTTTTGTTCGTGTAATGGTTTCCAAAGTGGCCAAGTTAATGAGTTTGGCTACAAAATGTCACCAACAAAATACGAATTGCAAAATAAACATTTAAGAACGTCAAAAGTTTCTAAACTCATATTGGTTTATTTTATCTTGCAGATATGATTGATTAAATATGCAAGAAAAGTATTAAGGCAAAATATAATTGGTTACTTGTTTGAGAAAAAATGAGCCGTATATGTTTAGGAACCTCAGATTGGTGAATTTATTTTATATATCTGCAAATTATTAAATCATTTCGCTCAGAACCAGACTTTATATATCATGCTTGAAGCGTGGTTCCTGTCAATGAAAAACGTGACATTGTGAGGATTTGCATCAAGAAAATATTAATAATCTTACGTTATTTTGTGACCAACAATTATCTATGCACCAAGTTTTTTCGATGTTTTTACTATATTTTTTTCATGGATACAAACTAAAGAATATTTGCCTAATATAACTTTTCAATTTAAACATTAAACCTATATTTATTATATAAAATCAAGATGTTCCATTCATATTATATCAGGTTTCCTATAAAACTTAAGATGTCTGGGATACCTTCCACTAAATTATCTCGATCTCATACAAATTCTACAGACATAAGTAGGTACTATGCCGTCTTGATATTAAAAATTGCATCTTGCCTAACTATGTGAAAACAACAGAATTCGTCTGTTGGTTTCTTTTTACTTTGATATATTTAAAAAAATGATAGTTGCAAAGGTAAATGTTTTTACTTTTGCTAATTACAAAAAATTGCATTCTCAAAACTTGAAAAATGTTATTGGTGTCTATTGTTTATCATGTATTAGTTGCATGCCAGACGTAAAGATTTAAGTCCCCTACGTAGATCCGATTAAAAATTTAAATATTTATAACAAGTCAACAACTAAAAGATAACATATCGAACACTTAATTCATTCAATGGTAATTATATAATCAAACAAACAGAAAGCTAATACCGGTACATAGCGGCAAATAAACATTTTGGCTGGGTTAACCTTTTGATAATTGACCGCATAGCAAAGAAAATAATTTCGATCCCTAATTAACGAACGTTTTGCAGAAACTCAAGACTATGCACCGCTTGAAATCGCTTCCAAAGTTCAGCAGATTGCATCTGTACTTTTAACTTTGAACTCAGTGATCTGATATGTTGTTATTTAGTTTTTTATAATTGGCTTATCTGTTTACAATGTTTGCAAAATGTTAATTATGAAATTGTTTGTTCGCAATTTTCCAAATTTCACTTTTGATCTAAACAATTTGTGGTAGGTAATGAAACAATAAATACATTCCTAGTATATGCATAAATATCTTGCATCTTTAGTGTTTAATATCAATTATTTCATTAATTATTTTCCTACTTAATACGACCAATAAATAAACCTTGTTCAATCCAAGAAAAGATGCATTCCTTTCTAATAAAACAGTAGTCTGTGTTTTATCATGTAATTAGTTTGAACAAATGTAAAAAGGACAAATTTTGTCAAAACCCATTTAAATATTACGCTTTCATAAAATACATAAAACATTTAATAGTGATCACCAATTGAATTTATGTTAATGTTTTCACAAATTTTCTGTTCTATTGGGTTTCCAATTTTGTTGTTTTATTGCCTCCGACAAGCGAATTTTGTTTTTTCTTATTTCAAAGAATAACATTTTTTCTTAAAGTAAGTAAAGAAGAGAGTGCTTTTGAGATCTTTAGGAAACCCTCAGAATAAGAAGATACGATGAATAAATAGTTTCAAAAATATTTCCCAAAATTAAAATAATTGTATTCCTTTTTTCTGTAAAGTTTCACCGATAAAACCGATCAAACCCGAACTAATGAAATCGACAAAGTTTAGTGATTTCTGATTCGCATCTTAGAATTATATCTCTAGAAAAATGTGAAAAATTTACAATTTTTCAAAGTATAGGCACTTTTAGAAATTCTCATAGAGAGTGAAGCCGTTTAAAAGAAACTTCCAAATTTCACAAAGTTTTATTTCATTTCCTAGACCAACTTTACAAAAGGGCTAGCAGAAAAACGAGAAAATACGTTTACTGACCGAAGCCAGTTGAAGTATGCCCGAAGACTCGTCGTGAAGCTGGGAAGTGCTGTGATAACTCGAGAAGACGAACATGGCTTGGCTTTGGGAAGATTGGCTTCCATTGTCGAGCAGGTAAGATCTGAAACTTTAGCTCATATTTTGATTCAATCCATGCATTTGCTGAATATAATTTTCATATTTTTTGAAAATTTAGGTTGCTGAATGCCAGAACGAAGGAAGAGAATGCATAATGGTGACCAGTGGTGCCGTTGCTTTCGGCAAACAGAAGCTGACGCAAGAGTTGCTGATGTCGCTGTCCATGAGGGAAACTTTATCTCCAACTGACCACACAAGAGAAGTAAATTTCATTCTTCTTTCCCAAAAAAATTGCAAATTTTAGAACTTGGAAACATTATATTTTAGGATGCCCCAACTCTAGTGGAACCTCGAGCGGCCGCAGCTGTAGGCCAATCGGGTCTAATGTCTTTATATGATGCCATGTTTTCCCAATATGGAGTCAAAATTGCCCAAGTTCTAGTAACTAAAGCTGATTTCTACAATGAGGAAACTAGAAAGAACATAATCAGCACTTTATCTGAGCTGATCAGTTTGAACATCGTTCCAATCATTAACACCAACGACGCTGTATCTCCACCTCCTCAAATTGATGAACCAATCGGAGGTGTTTATGGTGCTTCAATGAATATTTAGAAACCAATTAAAATTTTGTGGAATTGTAGCCAAACCGGGCAAACGAGGCATTTCTCTGAAAGACAACGATTCTCTGGCAGCGATGTTGGCAGCAGAAATTCAATCCGATTTGTTGATTTTGATGTCTGATGTTGATGGCATTTACAACAAACCTCCTTGGGAACCAGGCGCGAGATTCCTTCACACGTTCTCTTCTGAACAAAGGCAGACCATCGAGTTTGGCCAGAAGAGTAAAGTTGGTACTGGAGGAATGGACTCTAAAGTAAACAGTGCGATTTGGGCTTTGGATAGAGGTAAGTCAAGTCATTAAGATCCCAATAGCAACCGGAGGCTGGTTTTCTCACATTATCATTCTTCAGGAGTCTCTGTGGTTATATGCAACGGAATGGCTAAGGAGGCAGTAAAAACAATCCTTTCTGGGCGGAAAATCGGCACTTTCTTCACAGACTCTGCAAACATTGGGGCTGTGCCAACTGAAATTGTTGCAGAAAATGGTACAGTGGCTCTCAAACCTCATTTAACCAGTGCAAATAATGATTCTGTTTCAGCTCGAATTGGAGGTCGCATTCTCCAAACTCTTACGCCCGAACAAAGGGCCTCATGCGTGCATACGTTGGCCGATCTTTTGATCTCCAAACAATCGCAGATCCTGGACGCCAATCAAAAGGATCTACAAGAGGCAACTAGCTCTGGATTGGCCAAGCCTTTGTTATCCAGATTGTCGCTCACGCCAGCAAAGCTCAAGAATCTAGCAGTTGGGTTGAACCAGATTGCCGAGTCGAGTCACAACAACGTGGGGCGAGTCCTTAGAAGAACCAAGTAAGTTCCAGTGCAAGTTACAAATTTTTCTACGCAAAAAGTTATATTATTCACGTTTCCAGTAGAAGCATTTTTTTTGACGAACTACAGCATTTGATTTCACTGGTTGAACTCATGCCTGTTTGGAAATGTTCAGAGCAGTATGACATGGAAATTTTGAATCTCATGGGAAATTACTTGTATTTATTTTACCATATTAAATAATTCTATTCGAATTGAACGCGTGTATCAGTCGAGTTGAGTTTGCAGAATAAATTAGTCTAATACTATCAAGTCTGGAGAACCGAGAGGCCATACTAAACGGTGACAGAAAAAAAAGGAGACGTGACCCATCTTCAAGCTAAAGCGGTTCATTCAGGTTTATCCACTACAATCGACCGCTAAAATTGAAAAAGTTTCTAGCCCAGCGGCTTATACTAACAAAAAATGTGTCTTTAAATTTCAACAACTTAAACAATTAACAATTCCAATCAAACATTCATTTAACAGAAGTAATGATATTGAAACAAAGCCAATTAGTACACAATTGAACAAAACTATATGTAATTTATTTCAGATTGGCGGAAGGACTAGACCTTAAGCAAATCACTGTTCCCATTGGCGTCCTTCTAGTCATTTTCGAATCCAGACCTGACAGTTTGCCACAGGTAGCAGCCCTTGCTATTGCCTCAGGGAATGGACTTTTACTTAAAGGCAATGAAGCAAAATTCTTTAACTCACGAGCCAAGACTCATTTTCTATGTTACAGGTGGAAAAGAAGCTGCCCACAGCAACAAAGCTCTTATGGAGCTAGTAAAGGAAGCTTTAAGCACTATTGGCGCAGGAAATGCAATTTCTTTGGTAAGAGTTGGAAAGAAGTTTTGGGAGAACAAGATAATAATCCTGGTTGTTTTGGGATGCATCGCAGGTTTCCACCAGAGAGGAAATTGGAGATCTTTTAAGCATGGAGCAACACATCGATCTGATAATCCCGAGAGGATCCAGTGAATTAGTTAGGAGCATTCAGCAGCAGTCCCAGCACATTCCTGTTCTAGGTCATGCAGAAGGTACATGTTGAAGTCTTCATTCTGCAGCGTTCCACAATACCACTTGTTCCAGGTATATGTCACGTTTTTGTTGACAAAGATGCGGATCTGAAAAAGGCTCTGAAAATCATCAGGGACGCCAAATGCGACTATCCAGCGGCTTGCAATGCAATGGAAACTTTGTTGGTCCATGAAGATTTGATGAGCACCAGTTTCTTCTCTGATGTATGCGATTTGTTGAAGAAGGAAGGTGTTACCATTTACTCAGGTAAGTTTTCGGCTCTAAACCACTGCCGATTAGCTTTGATGAGGAATCAACGCCAAAGGCTGATGGTATGTTTTTGGATAGTTTCTATACTGCCGGATATGGCAAAGAAGCGAAAGCTCACGCTAAGTGAAAAATTAAGACAAATAGTACAAACGTTTTGCGAAAATGTAGTTGCTCGACATCAAAAGATTTTTCAAGGCAAAACAGTCGCTGAAAATCAATCAAGTGAGTGAGATTTATTTTGGAATTTTTAATTTCTTCTGGGCTCTTAAAATCCTTTTAACAGCATGATCATATTGTCGAAGCTCAGATCTTTTGTTGTAGTACTTCAAGTTTGGTTCAGTGCGCACTAGCAACACACTAATTTATGTTGAAGCAAATCAGCTTCTCACTTTCGCCAATTCAATTAATTTTAGGTCCCGTATTAAACCAGATGCTCACTTTTGGACCCCCATTGGCCAAGAGCATGAAGCATGAATACGGAGCTCTCCAATGCTGCATTGAAGTTGTAAAAGGCTTTGATGAAGCTATTGAACACATTCATACTTATGGCAGCGGACACACTGATGTTATTGTCACTGAAAACAGTAAGCAAACAACCTGAAAATTCGCAAAACGTTTTTTTAAATTCTGTAAATGTTATTAACAGATAGTAGAGCAGAAGACTTCCAAAAGAAAGTGGACAGCGCCTGTGTATTCCACAATGCCAGCTCTCGGTTTGCTGATGGGTTCCGATTCGGCTTAGGTACCTATGCCTTAATTAATTGAAAATAAATTGAAAATTTATTAATTTTGTTAAATTCTTAGGTGCTGAGGTAGGAATTAGTACTGCCAGGATTCACGCACGAGGACCTGTAGGAGTTGAGGGACTGCTGACCACCAAATGGGTGCTAGATGGCGTTGATCATGCAGCTTCGGACTTTTCTGAAGAAGGTGGCCGCAAATGGCTACACGAATCGTTGCCTGTAAACTGATCCCCAAGATGACTCTTAAAAATATTAATTATGTTTGCTTCTATGTGCGATCATACAGCAAAAACACGTCTATACAAAAGACAAGCAGATAAAAACATTATCTTTTAACGAATATATGATAGTAGTGTCTCTGTATCATATAAAATATTTATTTAATTTTTGTATTTCAATTATGTAAAGTTTTTTAGATACAATAAACCTGTGGAATTTATTATCTAATTTTGCAACCCTTGAGCAGCCCTGATGTCTTCTGACCATGTTATTCTGGTACTAAATTAGGAAAAAGAGCAGCTGAAAAAAAATCAACTTCTAAGCAGAGTTTATAAAACTTCAGTACAAACTTTATTTAAGGAACGAGTAAATGAACTGAGATCTGCTCAAAATCTATTTAAGGTTGTTTCAGGGAGCGTAGTAACTTAAATAAGTTTACATGTTTTATGTGCGTGACAAATCACTTTTTTACTAAATTGTATTGAGCAAACTCCTATTCTCTGCGGATATAGAGTAGGTGGTATAAGTATTTCTATTAAAAGTTGGAAAATCGTGCTTAGTTTGGTCATATTTAGTTCGGTTATTATTGCAAGAAAAACTTAGACGCCAATATGTCTGGCATCTTGTTCCTCGCATGTTCCACACATCCTCAAAACTTCACTAATTCGAAGTAGAATAAACATTTTTACGGCAGAAATAGTGACTGAAGTTTTCTGATTGAATGTTAGGATCATTATGTTTACGGTCCGTTTATGCAAGAAGAATGCGAAAAACCGCACCTTCCGATAGTGTCTCGAAGAAAAACTATTTTTTCTAATAGAATTTACTAACAAGGGCTTGTGGGTTTCAAAAGTTAAATCAAACCAATTGAGGAGCGCCAATTGATTGTTTTATCACCAAACAAGCTTAGGCATCAGGTAACTTTTTGGTGTAGTTCATTAGTTAATTAAATTTAAACGCCCTTCTTGTTTGTACTACAAATATTTAAAAATCAGAAAAAATTGCGTTGCCTTATTGAAAATGTTTAATTGCTGAAAGTGTCGTCAACTTTCTTTCCAATTTATTTACAGTTTCTTTTCCGGCAAACACAATAAAAATCCTTATAATAACTTAATACAGTAATAAATTAGTAAATGCTTTACAGCTGATAATACGTATTTACCATGGATAATCAGTAATCCGGAAAAGAAGGATTAGTAAAAATTCATCTACTGTAATACATTTATTTCAGATAGGACTTTTATTGGAAACAATTATTTGTTTTATTATAAAGATATTTTGATCAGATTGCCCATCCTTGTTTTGACTGCTCCAAAGCAATGAAGCTGGAACTTTTATTCAGTATAATATTTTTGGTTTTGGTTAATAATTCAAACGCGGATTATGCTTTCGGGCATAGAGGCTTCAGAGTTTTAGATCCTCCAGAAGATCTTACAAGGGATACTACAAGAGTTACATCAAATTTGTTTATTGAACAGAAAGTTGACAACTTTAACTCATCGGACACTAGAACGTATAGTCAGGTAGGAGAAAATTTATTTATATATAATTTAACCCTTAAATTATTTATGAATTAAAAATCTCAGTGGTATTTAAAGATTTGACAATTTTGATTCAAATACCAGCAGTTACTCCGTGAATCGTACCCGAAAAGTAGTCAAAGTTGCAGATAAACTGCAATAAAGTATACTTATTTGTATGATTGAAAGACACATCACAAAACCTAAATACTAAATATTGCAATTTAAGTTAAATATTACATTTAATAAACTCAAATGAGTCAAATTAAACCCAAAATTTGAAATATTTACAGTTCTTTGCTCACGACTTTGAACGATTTTCAAATGTACATATTTTAGTGTTTGATTACTCATGATGATTGGTCGAGAAAATTACCTTCTCATTTAATTCGTATTTATTTTATATGCTTATTTTTTAGCGCGTAATTCAGAGCTTCACATTTGAGACGATTTTCATATAAATATGTATAAATGCTTGAAATTGCTTATAAAATGACGAAATGTATCTAATTGGTAACCCAATTCTTAAGAGAAAATTCCATAAAGTTATTTTGGTCAGCGTTAATTCCGCAAGATAAAAATACGCTCGTAATTTATTACCTACCAATGGCAAGCAAATTTATAGTAATACATTTTCTTCCTATTTATATTGACATTATATCAATTATTGCAGTATTTCCTTATAAACGGGAAAGCTACAGTTGTCGATGCGATTTAGCAAAAATAGGCAAAGTAGTTTATCTATATAGTATCAATTAAAAGATATACATCCATCTATGCTTCAATAGCAGTTTTATGCGAATTTAATGTGTTTCCAGAGATATCATGTGAACGAGTATTACTACAATGAAACGGCAAAAAATCACGTTTTCCTCCTATTGGGAGGCGAATGGGAGGCAACCACTGGTTGGTTAACTTATGGGGCCTGGATCGAAACAGCCAGACAGTATGGAGCTCTTTTGATTTACTTGGAACATAGATACTACGGTTACAGCCATCCTTTCAGGTAAGCAAAAGCACAAGTTCTCAACAGAATTAACCAATATTTAATAAATTATAAAATTGTTCTAGTTTTATTTAAATAAAGTGTTAATCTTAGTTGCTGAGCGAGTTTTATTAGGTTTATTAGCTGCTAAACGCACCTTACCGTTGCGATTAGTTCCGCAGTTCAATTTTTAAATCAAAACCAAGAAAAAATTATGTGCACTGTTATTTAACGAAAAAAGAAAATTGCAATTTGACCGAACAGATCAAAATAATTCTAATCACAAATTCACACAAAGAAATTGAATCTCCACGATCATTTAAAATGGTTCAGTTTTAAACTCCTGTCAGTTCCAAAATACTAAAGATCGAGTTTTATTAATAAAATAAGAAGAACTAGATATACGAGGTCTATCGTAGTGCTTAGTAGTACGATGCTTAGTGCTTAGTAGTCCAACTGAGAGTCTGTCAAATTTTAATCAATTTTCCATTGTTTTATTTGCAACCCCTTGTAAAAATTTTCTCATGCATTCATTTTTTGGAAATAAACGCACTGACCGAAAAAAACGCTGCAAACGAAAAATAGAGTCTCTCACGGTCCTTCGTCGCTCCAAAATTTCGTCGAAATTTTCCGTGTATCCTCTATTTTATTTCCACCAAAATTTACTACAACTCTCAAATTTTAACCATTTTTCAGCGATTTAAGCACAGAAAATCTTCAGTACCTCAGTGCAACTCAGGCCTTAGCGGATACAGCCAATTTCATTGAATATATTAACAATCAATATAATATCAGTTCTTCGGAAGCAAAGTGGATAGCTTTTGGTGGATCTTATGCTGGCACTTTAGCTACATGGCTGAGAGATAAGTATCCCGACCTGGTAGCTGGAGCTGTATCTTCCAGTGGACCTTTGGAGGCAGTTCTGGATTTCCATAGTAAGGCAAAGCATATAGAAATCAACCGACTTGTAGTAAGGGATGCTTTTTGCAGAATACTATCAGGTGGTGAGAGAAAGTTTAGCTACATACAGCGATAGCTGCGTTGAAAATGTTAGAGAGGCTTTTTCGCAACTTGAAGAATTAACGAGCAGCTGCCTGGAAGAGACAGAGGTTTCTGGAGAAATTGACACAATATTTAAAGTAACGCAATTGTAATTGAATTACCAGACGATTTTCCATCATTATTTCATATTTCAGCTTTGCACTTCAATTGCGGAGAGCGAAGTGACTGATAACGACTTGTCGTCTTTGTTTGAATATATTGCTGGCTATAACTTCGCCTATATCGTACAGTATAACGGTCGGTTATCGATAACTTTGGATAATATTTGTGACATTATGACCAATGAAACTTCCGGTATTGTTGCTAGTCAAATTGAGCCAGTTCTTCAATCAACAGAAATATTAATTTTTAGGAAACACTGCCCTGGAGAGACTAGGTAAAGCGAACGACTTACTTTTATCTTACTTTGGCTACACTTGCTCGGATTTCTTATATGAGAGTACAGTAGAATACCTGAAAGATACTGTCATATACTCTAGCTCCATGAGTAAGTTTTAGTTGATCATTGGAAGCATCTAGAATAGAAGTTAATATTTAAGGTCGACAATGGTATTATCAGACGTGCACGGAATATGGATTTTATCAAACCTCCAGTCAAGAAGACCCGATCTTCGGGTCGCGCTTTGAAGTTTCATTTTACACCAATCTTTGCGTTGATGTTTTTGGCAGTATGTTCAACGAAACCCGAATCAACCAAGGTAAACTATAATTAATCTGAAAAATTTGCATCAGACTATGTCAGAACAACGAGCAGATGAACTTAAGTAAAGGGAATCGTCTGATTTTAACACTACTGAACCAGGGCATAAATATTTATAACTGCAGACATAATTGTTAATAAATACAGGTTTGCCCGGAAAAAATGTGGAAGCACCTCAATGCTATTTAATCAAATAATGAAGAAAATCAGTCAGACGAAAATTTTGGACAAAAACAATGTGCTGTACGCAAGGTGTGTTGAGCCTTCGGGGATGGAAAATATTGAAATTATCTCGTGCTGCCTTAGAGCCTCACGTCAAACAAAATCAGAAGAACCAATCGATAATACTTTTCTGTAAAAAAAATTGCGATATGCCTGAAGGCTATTGAAGCTAGAGGTTTTTTGCGGGCGGGCAATTTGGCGTGTATTTGGTGCAAACCTAAAAGAATGTTGTAAATTGAATGAAAATTTATTTAATGCGGACGAGTTTTTTGTCGAGTTTCTTGAGCAGATTCCACTTCAAATAATAGAATTAACTGGAGAACAGGGCAAGAGAATATATCGGCTTTTATAATTATTAGGTATTAAGGAGATTAACAACAAGTATGGAGCTCAAAATGTATCCACCAGTAATATCGTTCATTTTCATGGGAAGATCGATCCCTGGTACCCACTTGGTAAACTAACAACAACTGAAGATATTGGAGATACAGTCATTATAGTTGAGGGTGAGGATGCATCACTACTTTAGACTATTCTGCATTTATTCCGGGTTTTTTATGGAGTGTCCAGTTTTTCAGTGGGCGGTTCCCCAGGCACTGTTTTGTGATAAAAAGTCCATAAAGCGACGAGGTCCCGAGGCCTTACTTATCGAGTTATAAGGTGTAAAAGGATCGGTTTTAATTTTTCTTCTTTCGAACAAATTTTTTAAATAAAATCGATATTCATACGAAACTGGATTTAGGTGTTTCTTAAGATGAGAAACTTACATTTGATCTTGGTTTTGCTCTTGGTTGTAGAGGGCGCTACTTACATGTTCTTAACTCGTTTGAAGGGCCATACACTTTTGATGCATACTTGAATTGCATTTTTTTAGTTAGGAAATAAATTCCTCTGTTATTTTTAAGAAGAGAGAAGAGAAACCCTATATAGGAAAAACGCCACGAACAAATGTTTTCACAGCTTTGCTAAATTGATCGAAAGTTAAATAAAAATTGTACCAAGTGTTCAAAACGTCCACCTCCTATCTGTATTTATTGTTAAAACATGTGATGGAAGAATGCCCGAAAAATTAAAGACTATACGTAAGAGCAAACCCTTGTTCAAATTTAGGTTTCCGATGTTACAAAACCACCAAAATACCAAGTCGACGTATCAATATTATATCCACAATTCGAAAGAAGCAATAATGAAGGTTAATTTTATGACAATCTATTGGTGGATCAGTACGATCTTGTCCATGTGGGCTTTTTTTCGTTAAAATTTCTAAGGAATCGCCCTGTGAAATATTGGACAGTTCTTAAAAACACCGTATAGCAGTCAAATATCAGTAGTAATCTAGCAATATTAATAAACGTTAATTTACAGGAGTTGCTCATTGTGCAAGCATGTATGCAAGTAGTGCCAATGATCCAGCTGATCTTACAGCTGCTCGTGTTGAGATAGACAGATTAATAGGAACATGGTTGGAAGTAAGTACTGATGAATCAGAAGACTCTGAAGGTGCTGATGAATCAGAAGATTCGAATGTACCTGATGATACCGAGGATTCTGAAAACCCCGATGAATCGCAACAAGACAACAGTTCATCTGTAAAATGCAGTTGTAATTCATATGTAATCGGTTTAGTCGCAATCATAATGTTTTATGTAGCAAAGTAAAGTAAAACCTGCTTCTTCTATATTTTCTTTAGTTAGCTTATTTCGATGATTATTTCTTCAGTCATGCATGTTACATTTTAAGGAGGAAATTTCAAAACATACCTTTTTGGGTCATATATTTCCTTATTTTCGTATCTTGAAATACCCCTAAAAGCAAATGAAAATCTCCACAGCTTCTAGTGCATTGAAACATGTTAATATCTATTGATGGTGTTTTTGTTGTGTCTGATCCCATAGTTAGATTAAGTCATTCCAATTAAGCATCCATCAGCAAATGTAATTCCATAATGCCTGCATGTCTAAGATAAAATGCCGACTGACTTAATTTAGGATTTAGATTTTATGAGTTCAACCGATATCTACCATTTTTTCTCCAAAACGAATCATTGTTGTTCCAAGCTTTAGCACTAGAAGCGGAAAAATGCTTGTGAAAATTTTTATATTGGGAACAGTTTTAAGTTTATTTGAACATTACAACGTTCAAGCAGTCTTCGGCGCAAGGAAGCACAACATACTGCAAAATCCACCAAAAGACATCAACTTAGGCAAACGCGTTAGTACAAATCAGTATTTTGACCAAAAAATCGACCATTTCAACACGAGTGATAATCGGACATGGAAACAGGTATGACTTGAAGATTTTAGTATTGCATCCGAAAAAAATATTTGTGGCATCAAATCAATGGTAAATTTTAGAGATACCATGTTAGCGAAGAATACTTCAACGAAACGTCTACAAACAATGTGTTTCTTTTACTGGGAGGCGAATCAGAATCGACTGGAACTTGGTTAGGTTATGGGGCATGGATAGACACTGCAAAGCATTACGGAGCCCTCCTAGTTAATTTAGAGCACAGATATTACGGTAATAGCCAGCCGTTTACGTGAGCTCATGAATAAATGTTCATACAAAACTTAAATTTAATTGTTGAATTCTTCCAGCGATTTAAGTGTAGACAGTTTGCAATACCTTTCGGTCTCTCAAGCTTTAGCCGACACCGCTAATTTCATTGAAGCTATCAATGAAAAATACAATATTTCCAAATCTGATGCCAAATGGATTGCGTTTGGTGGCTCGTATGCTGGAACTTTAGCAGCATGGTTAAGACAAGAATATCCTGACTTGGTTGCAGGAGCGATGGCATCTAGTGCACCGTTGGAAGCTTTGCTGGACTTTCATGGTAGGATATATTCATTTATTTAATTAAAGTTCATCTAGATGGTTTTCTTAGAGTATTTGCAGGTGGTGCGCAATGGTATGGGCAACTATAGTCAAAAATGCGCCGACAACATCAAAGAAGCATTTTTGGAGTTGGAGCAGATAACTGAAATATGTTATGAAGGTGATGAAGCCTTTGATGAACTGAATGATATATTTCAAGTATGAGCCCAATAAAGTGTGTCGGAGTGCACTATTGCTAAATAAACCTCTCTTTCTAGTTATGCGATGATATTGGAAGAACAGACATAACCGATAAGGACTTAGCCACATTATCTCAATATCTAGCAGATGAAAACTTCGCTTACACCGTACAATACCATGGAAGAGCTGCAATCAATATCGACCGTGTTTGTGAGATTATGATTAATGAAACCGGAGGTAAAACTCTAATGCAATTTTGGTTCATTTGATTTTCGAACAGTAAAAATAAATATATAAGAAGTTTAAAATGGTCCATCCAATTGGGTTTCAGGCAGCTCAACTCTCCAGCGACTGGGACAAGTAAATAGTCTTTTTCTCAATGATTCCCAGCAGACCTGCACTGATTTTAAGTACAGTAATTTAGTACAAGCCTGGAGGAATACTACGATTGACCCAAGTTCAATGAGTGAGTATCAGTAACTAAGAAGTAATTGTTATTGGGTAAACCAATCAAGCTGACATATATTTTAAGTGTTTCATTTGAGAATTTTGGGTGCCAATCGAACTCGACGACATTTTTTATTTACTGTCTTATTAGATTACAAGTTTGGTTAATCGATTCAGTTGGATAGATATTGCAAATCATCTTGCAACATCAAAACTTGAAATCATGCAAAATATTTTGCAAAAGGTCTTGGACTTCGGTTTTTTTGCGAACCATTAGTTTGATTAACTTGGATTGAACTAGATAAACATTCTAGTTTTTTAAACCTAAAGCTGTAAGCTTTAGGAAGCTGAGATAAGTTTGAGAAGTTAGCTTTTACGATTTGGTAAATCACATCGTAATCATCATGGTAATCATCATCAAACATGGTAATCATCATCGTCCTGCATAACTACAAAAGATAACTTAACTATTATTTTTTTATATGAACCATCATTCAACTAGAAGCTTAAAAATCGCGACTTAAGGAAAACCTGAAGCAGATAATTCATATTTCGCATTGGTTTAAAAGTGTTCAATGTCTTCCCAACGAACATTAAAAAATATTATATTTTGAAAAAGAAGTAAATATAGTATGTTGAACAAAACCTGGATTTCTTGTTGAACTTTTTCCAAGCTCTCCGAAATAGAATAACAAATTTATTATAAGTAACTTATTATAGAAAAAGGACTAAAATTGAATGGAACGTAGACCGTGTAAAACTGTGTATTTATTTAATTTAATTTAAATATATTTATTTCAAAACCCGACACATACGAGCATCACGTGCCCAATTTTTTCATTACATAACATTATAGCTTTTATCTTTATTTTTAAAACTGGAATATTTCTTCTAATGTTTCTCCCGTGTTTGTTCGATGTTCATCTGTGATATGGCAATATGGATGAATTTTAAATGTACTCAAACGTAAAATTACTCTCTGATTTCTTTTATTTAGATATTTCAGAATAATTATATAAAAATTGGTAGTTCAAAACATTCTATTAGGAATTAATGTAAAATAGTGAACAATTGTGTCCTAGTGCGCCAATGGGTATACCAGACATGTACAGAATTTGGGTTCTTTCAAACGTCGAGTCACGAAGATTCCACATTTGGGACTCTATTCAACATCACCTACTTCACCGACTTATGCATAGATGTTTTTGGTAGTGAGTTTAATGAAACACTAACACGCTCTGGTGAGTACAAATTTACAGGCCGAATTGATTTAAGCTCCTAACTTACTTTCAAGGTATTGAAAAAATTAATAACAAATACGGTGGCAGAAACATGAACATGAGCAACATAGTTTATTTCCATGGAAGCTTGGATCCGTGGCACGTTGTTGGGAAGCTGGAAGCTTCAAAAGACGCTGATCACACAGTGCTCATTGTAAACGGTAGACGCGTATAAATCTAAGGTATTTAGTGAATGTATTCAATAAAATGTTGTTTTTGCAGGTGTTTCTCATTGCGCAAACATGATGGCAGTTATGGATACTGATTCGGAAGAAATGGCAGCCGCAAGGTCTGCAATCGACAGGCTGATAGGAGGATGGCTGAGTTCAGCAGCTTTAACCCTCGGAAGCAGCTCTTTAGCGAAACTAATTTTTGGTTCCCATATTTTAATTGCTGCCATTTATGCAATGTACTAGACTATTAATCAATTCATCCGATACTGAAAAATATCTAGCTAGGCTATCCTAAATTTATTTAATTATTTGAGATTTGACGATTAATACTAAATTGAAATCATGATGGATGTATTTATTTTCATTAATAAAACAAGCATTTCAAATAAAAGATTTAATAACTAGCATTAGGATTAATACTTGCAATATGTAACCATTCTGAACAGAATTGCCTCCAGATGCATCAACGACTCCGAGCCATTGCCCAATTAAATTTCTTATTTCAGCTCTGGCCACATTCAACTCCTCAGGATCACTTTCGTCTGCATCTATCATATTGGCACAATGCGCCACACCTACAAATTATCAGTAAATAATGAAAATCTAATTGCCTTTGACCACTTAGCAATTCCTTGTACCTTCAACTATAATAACTTTATCTCCTACGTCGTCAGTCGTGCTTAGTTTCCCCAAAACATGCCAAGGATCAATGCTTCCATGGAAATATACTATTTTACTTGTTGCAATATTAGCAGCACCGTATCGGGTATTGGTGGTTTGGATTCCTGCAGTATTAGAAGAAAGTGACAATATGTGGATTGTTCAATATAATTTAGAGAATTTTTTATAACTTGCCTACCTATACTGGATAACGTTTCATTAAACTCTTCTCCAAAGAGATCAATACAAAGATCAGTGAAATAAGTAATATTAAAGCGAGTTCCGAAAATGGGATTATCTTGGGTCGAAGTCTGGAAAAATCCGAATTCCGTGCAAGTTTGATACACCCATTGACGCACTAAAAGTAATACATTTGCAGAGAATGTTACATACACAGAATAGGGTCAATTTCATTAAATGTATTTGAATAAAATGATTGATTAATAATAAGTCGGCGGCTGAATAATCGTGCATATAAAAAAGAAAGTGAACTTCTGGGTTTGATAATTTTAACATTTTTTCTTGCGTGTCTAATGGAAGTGTCACGTTAAGCAATATTGATAAATCTAAAATTTGTCTATTGCCTTATATAGAATAATGAAACAAAACAAAACTGAATTGCAGGTAAAAACACAGAAAGTAAATTGAAACCTCCATTAGTCCACATCATGTGAGACATGGATTACCAACTTTAGATTAAATGTTTTTATGATATTTGAAATGATGCGGATTATGCATAATCCCATCAAAACATTTATCCACCTAAACCGGATTTGGAAATGAGATTGAGCGTTTTAGAAAATATTGATTAATTCTTCGATTCAAATTAATAAAATGGTCTAGCATTGCCAGCACCTTAATCTGCCAGTTCAAAAAGATGATTAAATACATTTTGATCACTTACTCATTGAACTGGCCACTATTGTAGTATTACTCCACCCTGCCACCAAATTCGCATATTTAAAATCTCTACAGTTACTACCTGCGTTTTCCAGGAGAAGAGCGTTAACTTCTGCCAGTCTTTTCAATTTTGTTGCACCTAAAATAAAATGAGTTCCTCTTTGATCACCTTAGCTTGTTAGAAAATTATGTGTGCATAAAATTGTAAATGGATAAAAAAGTGAAACGTTTCTTTTGCTCAAAACCTGTGAGTGCTTCAGCAAGAGAGAGCATGTATCAAACCAAAAACCATGAGTTGATTCCAGCAAACGAATAAAAAGTTCTGATAGTTTTTGTACCAGCCACTCAACAATTAACCACTTTTCCGAAGCAGATTAACTCGGTTGCTTGATAAAAGTCTGAGTCTTTCAAAAAAACAAATTTACAGCGAGTTTCATTAAAATATTTCGTTACATTTTCCAGATCTAAAAAACCATTCTTTTTGAACCACTTTTACTATCAATATAGCAGGAGAAATACATCTTTTTTGTTAGTGAAAGTTGGTCGCATCGTCTTCTTTTGAGCCATAGAAGAACGCATGACCCTTTGGATCATGTGCAAGTCTGGATATAAATTGTGTCTAGACAAATTCTACAAATACCTGCAGTATCATTAACCATAATCTCACATATCGTGTTTATTGAAATAGTCGCACTCGGTCTGCGATGATATTGGACCACATGAGCAAATATACTATCAGTGAGAATTTGGAAAAGCGTAGTTAAATCTTTGTCGTTTCCCTCGCTTGCCTGAATCGAATCACATAGCTGAAATAACAAAATCCTCACAACAAAATGTTCAAAGCCAATTTGCTAGGCGTGCCTTAAACATTTCGTCCAATTCATTATAGGCATCTTCATCTTCGAGACATCCAGTAACCAATTCTTCCAGTTGATCGTACGCTTCTTTTACATTATCAATGCAAGTTTGACTATGAGTGCCCAAACCATTTGCAACCACTTCCAAATATTCTACCAATGACCATACGAAGTTAGCCTATTTTGAATATTCTCGAGTCCCTTGGGTCTCACCATTAAAGTCTAAAATTGCGTTCAGCGGTGCACTTGAAGACATTGCTCCCGCCACCAAATGAGGGTACTTATGTCTTAGCCACGCAGCTAAAGTACCAGCATAAGAAGCACCAAAGACTATCCAATTCGCATCAGTCAAGTTATACTGATCGTTCATTCCTTCAATAAACGCTGCTGCATCTGCCAATGCTTGATGACTGGATAGATATTGCATGTTTTCAGTGGATAAGTCACTAGAATTGAGGTTTCAAGTTATGTTAGTTATTTAGATATCAACAAAGTAAATTTTGAGGCGTTAAAAAATTTTTTCTCGGTTTTTATTTCTTCATTCATTTCATTCTCCCTTATGAGTTTTGTCACTCCTGAATTGAAAATATGGTCAGAATAGCTTTTACCTAAATGGTTGACTCTGGCCATAGTACCGATGTTCCAAGTACATCAGGAGTGCTCCATAATGTTTTGCAGTTTCGATCCATGTCCCATAAGTAAGCCATCTTGAAGTGGCTTCCCATTCTCCGCCAAGCATAAGAAATACGTGGTTTGTTGAGGACTCATTGTAATAATTCTCAGTCAAATGATATCTCTAGACAAAACATTAATTCTAAGTAGGCCTGGGTAACTCAGTGAGTTTTTAGGAGTTGGCGTAGTGCTGCGCAAATGGCTTGGTACGCCAACCCAACGCACTTTTAAAATGTCTTCAAATTTCAGAATTTTCCAGTTTTAGCCAGTTGACTCTTTCTTCTAAATGCTCAATTTTCTAAAGTTTTACTTAAAAATGCTGACAAATATTAAGGAATTTTCCGCGAAAAAATATAAAATAAATTTCGAATCCTTCGCAGCTTTGTAAAAAGTTTTGAAATCCCTTTCCAGCTTCGAATTTGAAGCAAAAATCAAACAATTTTCTTTCAAAAAACGAACAGAATAAGCGAAAGCATAAACAGATTATTTATAAATCTTGTCACCTCCATTCCTCTGAAACCTGTAGAATTTGTTAAAAAAATACGATTTTTAAGTTTTCACTGAATTTTTGTTGCTTTACTTTCGACAAAAAACGTCCTACTTTGTAGTTTCACTTAAAAATACTGACGATCTGGAGGACTTTTACGCGAAAAATTGCTCAAAGATAAATTCTTAGCTTTGTAAAAAATTTAGAAAAGCTTTTTCCAATGTCGAATTAGGCACAAAAACGAAAATAAATTCCGACCGTTTTTTCCCGAAAACCATTAAGGTTTTCTCCAAACCCTAAAAGTTTTTAATCGAAAACGCAAAAAGCATTATTTTCTAATGATTTTCTTATTTCTGGACAATAATGGGGTGTTTTCAGTCAAAAATTACAAAATTAATTTTGCTAGAAAATTCGCCCCCATTCATCGGTTTGCAGGGAACTTTAGAAAACCTTTTTCAGCTTCGAATTTGGCACAAAAACCAAATAATTTTATTCAGTTTTTTACCGAAAGTAATTAGGACCATCTTTAAAAAACGACCAGAGTGCAAAAAGTTACAAAATATTATTGGGAAAATTCACCGCTCTCATTGCTCTGACAATTTTTTCTTGAAAAAAGTTTCTTTAAATTTTCAGGTTATTCCAGTTTTAACAAAGTTTCTATTAAGCACCCCTTTCTACGCAAAAATAGCATTCTTTTTTTATTTTTTCTTAAAATACTGGCAATCTTTAGCTATTTTATGTGAAAAATTATAAGATAAATTTAATTAAATAAACACTCGCTTCCTTAACCGCTGTGCAGAAATATTTGAAACACTTTTTGCAGCTTCGAATTATGGACAAAACCTTAATAATTATTTCTAGGTCTTTTTCCAAATATATTTCCCCGAACTGAAAAAGCGAAAGTTTATAATAATTTATTTGGAAAACTCTTGGAAACTTGAGTTTCTTCACTTTTAGGTCAACATTTCTAAACAACACTGTCACTAAACAGAAAAACTGCGTTTTCCCTAACGTTTTACTGTAAAATACGGGCAAACTGAATCTTTTATGCAAAAAAATGAAGAGGTTAATTTTACAAGAAAACTCGTGGACTTTCTTTGAGCTCAGTTCTGTTGCTGGAAAAATCAAGATTTTTTTTTTCAGTTGTTTGAACAAAGTAGTAAGACGTTTCTCAGAAAAAATTTTGCTCATCCTTTTTTAGATGTGAAAATTCCATTCACGGGTATCGTAAAGCTTTAACAAATGAATTATAACTCGTTAACCGATGAGTTATAACTCGTTAACTCAGAGAGCGGCAACAACTGAAAAGTGCAACTCAACGGTGTTACCCAGGCCTAATTCTGAGTAAAAGTTAGAAACGCTGTTGGTGTCAATACAAGTCCCTGAAAATTGAATCAAATATCTCAGAGCTCGATTTTGTTCAAAAATAGACTTTTTAGTTTTGCTGTAGATAATCTAAAATAATTTGTTTTCACCGCAGATATGCAACTTTTACAAAAAGCTACTTTTAAATGCCCTTAAAACAAATGCTACAAACCTGTTGGTATGTTCTGGAATCCGTCGGATTGAAGTGATCGATTCTCTGCTCAAAGTATAGGTCTGAACTAATTCCTGTAGTTCGCAGGTTTGCACTATCCGGTGGATCGAATAAAATACCCGTTCCAACACCAAAAACTGCAGCCACATGGCTGGTTTTGAAAATCAACGTAAAAGCAAGTAAATCGAAGCAAATATTCAGACAATGCATGTCTGCCGAGATGGTATGATTATTGTTAACTTTCTATTAAAATCATCGCTCTTTAAACAATTGCAAGGATAATGAACGATAAATTAATCTAATACCTGATATACTTATTTCACCACATTTTATTGCGCTGGAAGATTAACGCAGCAAATATCTGGCAATAATTTAATTTGCTTTTACTGCATAGTATTTTCAATGCTGTATTAAAATCTTGATTTGTACCAGACACCCTTCGTTGAGACCATGACCGAAATAAAAACAAAAATATCAAAACTGCCTATAAAAGTCTACTTTTAGAGCTTACTTTTATACATGTTTATCTCCATTCCTGCATTTTTTTATGGATTGGAATATTTTCCGCATGTAAGCCCAGCTGCATTGTAAATTGAGATAGTGGAAATGGTTTAATTTTAATTTGACTTTCAACAATCAGACAAGCATGAAACGTGGATTTTACATTGTATGGAGAACTTTTCGCGAACTGAGCTTCGGGACATTTTCAGGTTCTATTACTAACGTCTATTTTTCAAAAATTTCAATAAACTTTGAAAGCAATTTAACCGTATGGGATTCGTCAATAAATTCCCGGTGAGCTCCAGTCGAATTTCGTTTGATGTATTATCGAAACGCATTGTCGAATCGAAGTGAACGAATAGTTTTGTGGAAATAATTTTCAATTAGTTAAGCGCTCATTTGAACTTGAATTACCTAAGCTAGCATACTAATAATAAAAACGGTAATAAAAAAAACATATTTTATTGAACCAAATTCAATCATTTTAAAGTCATTTTAAAAAGTTGTTGATAAGTATGGGTATAAAACCCATCCTAAACAGCACGGATTTTTCGGTCCGTTTAAAGTCCGCACAAAACACACACAATCAGAACTTGACAGGCATTTAAAAACCTCAAACTTTTTTATCTGCACAAAAGAGCAAAGTTTCACAACGCTATCGATATTCCACTTTTCCTATTTTGCTTAGCATCTATTAGGGCATTTACGCTTGAAACTCGATCAAAAGTGAAAACGATTAGATCAAATAAGTTGGAATCAGTTCCATAATACTCATTGAAAAAAAGTTAAATACGAAAAATGTTTAACACAGGGAAAAGGTCGAAATTCAATTTTCGATTTGCTGTGGTAAGTTACAATTCAATTCAAAAGTATTGTTAATCCTTCTAGTGAAACCACATTTAACCAAATTAATCGTTGAACATCGCGGACCGCCCTAAATTCCTGATAAAGCAGTTTTAAATGAAAATTCAATTATTTTCACTTCAGCCACTGATTGTTCGACTCATTTATTTATGGGATTCTCGTCTCTATTTGCAGATGTTCGTTAGTCTGAAGGAAATTGAGGTCATCGGTTTTATGCGTTTTCTATTAACTGGTCGTCTACGTAAAGAATTTAGATTTTTCTTGCTACAGCGATTTTTAGATCTATTCTAGCCGCTATCCAATAAGTGTCGGCGAAAAAATAGCTCGCTAAGTCCCATATGCCTTATAAGTATCTGGCGCAGAATAAGACATTTTCCAAAGTAATTTAATATGGATGAAAAAGTAACACTTAATGGCTTTCTTCTGAAGCAATCAGGTATGTTCTATACAAATTTTTTAAATTTTTGCTCAATATTTTACGTCTGTGCATCTGTAAAATTTAAATCCACACAATGTTATGCAACTGACTCAAAAGGACAAAAACAGAAGCAGCAAAATGCAAAGTGAGCAATTTATCTCAAGTGAGTCAGCTTTCAGCCTTCGCTGGACAAAACTAAACCCAGAAATATTTTAAATTTCCATGTAAACCTCTCATAAAAAGCATTGAGCGAGAAGCAACCTGCATGAAAAAAATTGCCTCAAGAACTGCACCTATTATAAAACAGCGCGCTTAAAACTGTCGTTTATATCTTTTGAAAATTGAAAATTGTAAATGGGGCATTAAAATAATAATAAGCTGATTATACGCTTGGTAAAGCGGGTTTACGTGACTAGGCTTCAAAATCCAGCTTCGTTTAAAAACATGTACAAAATTGAGGCTCAATTGGAAATTAATCGGTCACATCACGACTACGCTTTTTAAAATGCAAGTGAAATTTCGTTAAATTTATGAAAAATAAGGGCATTTTTATGATAAAATTCAATAACCTTTATTGAACGTGGCTGAACGTGATGTCTACTGAATACAACGTATAACATTTAACAACTTCGATTAGAATAATAAACGAACCGGAAAAAGGTAATTTAAGTTAACGCTCTCTAAAAATGAAAATAGTGTAAACATATTTCAGTAATCGAAATGCAAACTAGTTTTATTTTTGTTGTGATATTTTCTTTTGTTAGTGCTATTGTTCACTTTTTTAATTAGTCTAATGTTGTGAAAGGAATCAAATGAATGCAATATTTAGTATATTATCTACACAATGGCATTTTGTTAAAGCCTTCTTTTGATTGAAAAAAATAAAAACCTTTAAAACGTTGGATGTTTTATACGTGTATATTTGCTCCTTTAAATTGAATCCAAATGAAAAGGTACTATCTGAATAAGTTCACTTAAATAACGTTATCGATTGAACATGATTTAGGCCTAATGGTGCTTTTTTTGCTGGATTAAAACATAATTTAGCATCAAATTTATTATATTAATTTTAAATATAAAACATAATACTTCATTTTAACACCCACGCTATTGTTGATATGTTACAATTACGAAACAACGGCGAAACGAAATGAAAAAGCCGCTACAACTATGTTTATAAAAATATTTCCAGAAAAGTAGGGCTCATAATTGTCTGGAAATATCTTGAGCTACCACTACAATGTCGTAAGTAGTGAACGATCTTAGCTACAACATTCTTATAATATTACATAAAATATTTCCTTAAAACGATATTATTTACATCTCAGTCTCGAACACAAAACGGGACAACACTTCCTAGTTGACGACGGACTTAATTGAAATTTTTTTAATTACGGATCAATTTTAATTTTGATTGCTAATTATGTATTATTTAAAAATGCGTTGAAATATGCTTTTTGTCTGTATGTTATATTTTCAGATTCTTTGAATTTGAAAACACTATAGAAGGAAACATGTTTTTATCGATATTGCTTGAATTGTATCCATTTTGATTGAATTTTTAAGTTTAGAACTTTGCTCCAGTTCATGATCAGAATACTTTTTGATTATGTCTCAAATTTTGCAATTGTAATTTCCAAACGGCCGATTATTATATTAAAATATAATGAAAAAATCAAATTTATGCTTAGTATAAAAACTACGAACAACAACAAATTATTAATATAACAATTATAAATGGATTCAGTTTGATGAAGTCATAAATAAAAAGTTTGGCTTTCGCGAACATTGTTTGAAATCGGCGAGTATTTTTGGCCTTTGGGCTGTCGTGAAAAATAATATTGTTTTCCTGATGACTAAGAACGAGCATCTTGCATTTTCACAGATATTTTGCTTACAAATTTACCCTGATTGACATTATTATGCAGAACTCATTGTCCAGTTGTTCAGGACTGATGAGAGTCAGTGTAAGCTTTTGAGCGAAATATGTCTGAAAATACAAACGACTCGTGCTGGCGAAACGTCAGGGAAAAATTATTTTCTGCTATAAAACCCACCAATATCAGACTTAAGATTGTCAAGCCCTAAGGAGCAAAATAATAAATAGTTCTTTAATTAGCAAATTGGAAAACAAAAGTACAACTTTGAAAAACAAAGTTGATTCAGTCATATCTTGAAAAATACAAGGAAAATATTGAAAGATTGCAGCACAGCCCTTTCCTTGAATTGCTAAAATTGTCAAACCACATATTTATTTAATTTAATTATTCAAGAATTTAGTAACATTTGTTCCTAGCTAAGTTGTACTTAACAAAACCATTTAGCGTAATCGCATTGTTTGTTTAAATACTCACTATGAATTAGTACTGGGCCTCACCATGTCCCAAGACAATTACCTCAATTATTATATTAATACAATATGGAAAGCCTGATCTTAGACCGTAAAATCCCAACAATTTTATTTTCATTTACAACTACCCAACCATCTAGCTTCTAATAACCATTTGTACTTTCAAAATTTACTTTTGATCTGCTTTCGTTGCTTTTACGCTTGCTACCACTTAGCTTGATCCTGGAATACCCAGGAGCTTCCTGAAAGCTCTTCGAAAGTCCATATTAAAAATAGTATATATTACAGGATTCAGTGCGGAATTGATGTACCCTAACCATGTTATAAAATTAATCATCCTCCTTGAAGGACAGCAAGAAGGACAAAAGGGCACAATCACGTACATGAGGAAAAAGGGCAACCAACACACTACGAAGACTCCCATAATGATCCCCAGAGTCCGAGCTGCTCTTCTTTCTTTTGATAGGCTGATTCGTTGTTTTTCTTCTATAAACTGGTAAACACCAGCAGGTTTTTTTGGCGGTTCAATTACTACCACTCTCGATTCCGAATTTTTGTCTTTAAAGTTGACTACAGTGAGACTGGAGTTTTTAGCATAATTTACAATTTGGTCTTTTGGTTCACCGCCATTCTTGTGGGAGATTGTTGAGTTTTCACCTAAGGAAATTGGTTTATTTAACTGTAATTAAAACATCCAGACTTTATTAAGCACAGCTCGAAATGCTAATTCTGTTCAACCCGTATCTCCATTTATAAAGTCGGTTTTGGTCTTGAATTGTAACTAGCGATTAGTTTAGTGAGAATAACAACTGGCCGCGTCTAGAAAGGCTACAGTCTGCATCTATCGTTTGTATAGACAGAAAAGACACAAGTGTTCATTCTCAATTCAGAGGGATTTCTCGTTTAAAGGCAAACAGTTTCAGACAAATAAAATTGCAAAAATTGCTATGAATTACTATAACATACATCAAAACCTAAAACTTTACCTAGATCTGTGGCAGAGTCCTCATGTATCAAAATTGGCTTCAATTGCTTCATTTCCTCATTGCTCCCCTTTTTCTTGCTTCGTTTCCTTTCCCTTTTACAATTAATTTCAGTGTGTTCGTTGTGATTGGTCTCAGCGCTGCTCATGCTATCCCGATCCGCGTCTGTTCTTCGTTTAGACTGACTTTTAGAAATAGCGTTAATTTTCGATGCTTTGGCACGTTCTCGCAACCTTCGTCTTGTTGCAATAAAAATTTGAATATACACTATGGTCATGATTACCAAGGGAATGTAGAAGGAACCGGAGGCGGAATAGATCACATAGCCCTAAATAAAAAACGGTTGATACAGAAAAGGTTGCAAATTGTTTCCGGATTTTACCTGTCGCGAGGATAACTTGCATTCTTTTTTCTCCAAAAATTCCTCACTATCAGGCCAATCGTTCCAACCTACTAAAGGAGGGGAGCAGATGAGCAAGGATAGCACCCACACTGCGGCTATCATGTTGAGCACCCTTTTCAGAGTCCTTTTCTGAGCATAGTTAATCGGATCAGTAATGGCCCAGAACCGATCTAAAGCTATAGCGCAAAGGTTCAGAATCGAAGCTGTACAACACATCACGTCCGAAGTCAGCCACATTTTACACAAATGGATTCCGAAAATCCATTGACCCGCCACTGAATAAACCACATTCAGTGGCAGCACGAGAATGGCTACAGTTAAATCGGCCACTGCTAATGATACTATGAAAAAGTTCTGCACTATTCGCAACGGTTTGTACATAAAAACACTTAAAATCACCAAGATGTTGCCAACGACGGTCAGGAGAATGAGAAATCCGAGAGTTAGAATAATCAGCACTCCCTCCCATTGTGGAATGTCTGTGACACCGAAAATCGTTGAATAGTTTCCGTATTCTGGATCACAGGAGAGGTTCTGGTCCAGGTCCATTATTTCACACGTCAGTCATTGGAAGGGATTTTTTTCGAAGTTGTTGGCCCATTATGGCACTCTGAAACGCAACTAAACGTTAGCTTCAAATTACATTTCAGTTAATTGGAAACTTTAAGTAATTTCTCTCTACCTAAATTTCCGAACGATAATTATTTCTTAATTTCTTTAAACGTCTGTTTAAAATGAAGATGTTTGAATTGGCGCCTTTTTTATACTTTTTTAATTATAATTATTTTTTTAATACTGTGGACTGTGGGTACTAATTAAATTACTTAAAAAAAGACTGAATCTCAGATACAGCTTGGGTTTCTGTTCAGTTTTTTGAATTTTCGATTGTTTGGGAGCATTTCAGATCAATTCTAAAATCGACTCTTGCAAGCCATTCGTGTTCGTTGTTCCATTGATTTGGCTTGGTTTTGACGAAAATGTTAATGATTAATTATCCCTGTTGTATCCCTGAATTCGAACACGACCGAGTTTATTAATTACTTAAATTTAGAAACCAAAACCTACGTTAACGGAATCCATAACTTTAAAACCTGCGAAACATTCCTTCATTCATTCCTTTTCCTGAATGCAATAAAGTTCTAGCTGTATGAAGGTTTCTCTAAGTTTCATTCTCACCTTTCTCGCAATGGAACTGTTTTGGATAGCTTTTACCATTTGACTGGACAATCCCAAGTCATGATAATTTTAGATTTTTTGGACATATAGATGTTATTACGTTATGAAACTCTCATTATATAACGTTAAATTATTGACGCTGTGAAAATGTACTCTGTTAAAAAATAAGAAAGCAATTATCGTGTAAAAGCTAACTCTAAAAATACTGTTGCAATTACTCTTGCTCTGCTTGATTTGCTGTGATCGTTAGTGTTGCGCCCAAGCACTTCCATTTCGTATTTTGCAGTTTTTCTTTGCTGACTGATTGTTGGGTTAAAATTGTTCAGGATGCAAAACTAACAAGAAATAAGCACGATTTTTCATGGTGGTTTATATATAAGTCACATATCTATTAAATTTTATTAAAACTGATTGAAACGATAAGTGCGTACTGAATTTCCGGTTTTTACTGGCTGAGATTCAGAAATTTTACACAGTTTTGAAACGAGTGAGGACAGAATTTAGCTATAAAGTTATAAATTTATTTTTTTGTTATAATTGGCTTATAGACAAGGAAACGCATTTTTTTTTAAATAAAAGTAGTAACTTTGTTAATTGTAGATCTTGGCATATAAAAGGCTTACTGGAACTTGCACAAAAGCATCGCTCATATTATTAGATTTTATTTAAAATATAGATCATTTCATATTCGATTACAGTTAATTAGACAAATACTGATAAATTAATTAGAAAACTTCAATATGACTTACTTTTGCAATTTCATTTTTTCAAGTTAACTTTTAACGAATTTACCTAAAGATGATGTTATAAAATTAATCTAGTGGAAATACATCACTAGGAATTCCTCGTTCAAATGCAGCACACCATACCTGCAGCTTAATTGGTAACACAATTTAATTTTGGACAACAAACTACTTTCGGGAAAAGCCATGAATATCGCAATAAGAGACGTTTCAGCATATTAGTGCAAATTGCCGACTGTATGCAAGACAATCTTCTCCCGCTTCGATAAATTGAAAATTTGAAGACTCCTTCTAACAGAGAATACTGTCCTAAATTCGTGGTTCTTGATGCATTAGAGCAGCAGTTCGTCTTTTTTCCAATACCCTTTGATACTTTTCCTTGTTAAAAGCAAATCATTTCATTTAACCATTGCAGACTTTGAATGACAAGTGTCCTCAATTTCCCTGGTAAAAAATCCACATCAGACGGCAAAATCCATGATTGCATTTTAAACTGCAGCCTCGCAACTAATGTATACTGGGATAGTGAGGAGTTTTTTTTTTCAAATTTCCTAAACCTTTTAAATACCACTTGAATGGAAACATCCTCGTATGCTTCTGGAAAATTGCATTTACTTCGTGACGGCCGTTCAAAATTGATGAGCAAAAGTCGCCATTCTGAGTTACGCAAAAGAGAAATTCTCATTTATAAGGTCCCTGCATTGATAATAGAATATTTTACTGTCACGTACTATATTCTCCTTTGAACCAGAGTTGAGCGGGGTTATTAAATTGAATCCAATTAATTCAAGGAAAATTGACATCACAAGAAAACATTTCAAGGCACAAAATAATGAGTACTAACCAGAAAATTAATGTGAAGTAATTTCGTTGTTTGTCTGCAGATCAAAGTTTCGAAGTTTTAACGAACCGCTTTCGAAAAATGGGAATCAACTGTTCCAGGAGTGCTCAAAGATGGCTAACGTTAAATTCAAGACAACTCCCGAAATTGGTTTTGTAATTTTAGACCTGGAAAACACTTTTTGCTTTACTAATTAAGCTCTCACATAATTTGGAATTGACCGGTAGTGAGCTGAACAGCTAGTCTTAAATGTATATTCCCCCATCCACATATTTGTTTTTGTCAAAAAATGTTAAGTAATTTTTGAAAAATGAATTTTCTCAACCCAAACATATAGAAAATGGTTCTATTTGAACTTGAGGCAAACACCGAGAGTATCACGACGTCCCAATGGATCCATTTCAAACTCCGCATAGCTCTTAACTTATGCAGTCATTTCATATGAAAAAATGCTTAGTATAATCCTTGGAGGTACTTTCATATGAGAAAAATGATCATTTTTTTCAGCTGGTGGCAGTGGAGTATTTTTTATTTACCTAAATTTACATTTAAATATATAACCGGTAAAAAATGTACTCGAGGTAAGCACCGTCTGCGTTCACTTTTAGCTAGTCGGAGTCTTTGAAAAATTGTAAAACATTAACTTGGCGAGTTGCTGATTTAAATTGTGCACTTGCAGTTTGATGCAGCTGTTTTTTCTGGTTACCTGACACATTATTGGTGGTGACTTAGGACAACATTTTTTGGTTTCATTTATTTTGATAACATTTATATTTAGGTTTAGTCTTAGTCTGCCCTGATTCAAGTTTATTTTTTCAGGATTGTTTTATTCTCTATAAGCTCAATTCAGTTAACCTCCGAACTGAATCTAGGCAAAAATATTTTCTCTTGCAGTTTGGGAATTACCATCTGCTCGGATAAATTAGTTGACAAAACTTCGCAGACTTTGGAATTTTATTTGAGACCATCTACGACATTTGGCAATAATACATACGAATAACTTCTACAAATATAATTCACATTCATTTATAAAAATTTATCAAACCACTTATTTTCTAAAATATTTCTTACAAAACCCGTTTGCGATTTTAAGTATTCTACAAGCGTTTGAACGAATTACAAATGCACTTGGCAATTTATAGGAAATCCGCTCAATTTGGAACATTATAACCTTTTCATATTTTTGTTTCGACTTCAGCTCCCAGATAGGACTCAGGTCTCGTTCTACGACAGTTGTCAAATGTTTTTCCAGATGCTCTATTTCTAACAGTAATTCTCAGCACTTTTAACATTTTACATGCAGTTGAAACAGCCATATTTTCTTTCCTGGAGTCACGAGTGGTAGATTGCTTAGATTCTCCGGAATACTTTAACATGACTCTTTTCGAACGAGCCATATTTCATCCGGGAACAAAATCTAAGGTCCTAGCGGGACCGACGTGAAAAGCGCAAAACAGGAATGGCTAGAAATGGATCGTTTTAATTCTTTTATTCTTGGCCAAAATAAGAAATAAGATTAAAAAACACTGTTCCACTTGTGTCTATTCAAATTATTTAAAAGCTTTGTGCGATTCCCTCATCTTCGATATTTTAACATATAAATTAACGACGAAATATTGTAATAATTATAATATTTAGGTACGCGATTAATAACAGACTGATTAAGAATGTAAGAACTACGAAGTACGTGCTGGTGAGTTCATTCATTTCAACATTTTATTGGTTTTTAGTTAGAAAACTTGTCACTTTTTAATGTAGATAACACTCAGTTTATCTGGTTAACTATTACTATATGAATTTTCCGTAAAATTGCCTCGAAGGGATCAGTGGCCATAAACGGCCCGCAGAAACAACTGCATTCATTTTCTCTCTGTATGAGTGTCATTGATGAAATCCGTCTCTGTCTCGTTCATTTCATTTGTTAAAACATCTAACAACTTGAAATAAATGACCGAATCTAATGAGTTTTTGAGTGATATTTTTCGGATCTCAAAAACACTTGCACAGAAATATCTCTGGACAACAGCAGAAGAATTTCAAATTAATTTCCTTGCCTGAATTCAAAAACCGATTATACTTGGACTTGAAACCAACCAAAAGTATGTCTTCGCTTTCCCTGCGGAGCCATTTAAAAGCCTCCAATCTGATTACTTATACACCTACTTCTTCAGGGAAGCACTTTAAACGATTCTAAAAGATAATGTCGACTGTCACAAAAATGTATCACTTATTGAATTTCCGTCGGTTTAGAAAACTTATTCCTTCCTGTATTCATATCCTTATCATTATTCCGTACTAAAAACTCCCAAAAAATTGAACAAAATTATATGAAGGGTCGTGTTTACTAGTAAACATATATTCCATTCAATATATTTGACGCTATTTGTTTGAAGAAATTAACAAGACAAGTTTTTATTGTTTGATGGAAGTTTGGTGGACTTTTTTGTTTGGGTTTCTTCACAAAAGAAATATTCTGAAAATACTTTCCAGCCATTTAAATATCCATGAAACCGCAGGAACATGTGCTGTAAAATTATACTTGCTTCGTGACTGCCTCTTGTAAATTGAGGAGCAAAAGTAGGAATATTTATTTCCGCTCTAGAAAAATAGACAGTTTTGCTGTGGTAAAAAATGCAAAGTCAATTTAGTTCATGGGCATGAACAAAAATATTGGTGGGCATGAACAAAAATATTGGTTATGAATAAATTCGAAAGTACTGCCATCAAAACAAAACACTCCTCATTATTTAGAACCGCAGATTCTATGCGCTGTCCTTAAGTACTTTTAAAGTTATTTTCCTATTTTTCTGGTGCCCCAGTTTGCAAAGTTTTAACAACTCCTTACGGAAA